GGATGAATTAGTTGCGCGCAGTAGAACCTTCACATGCAAGCAAGATGACAGCAATAAGATCTCTGTATGTTGTCTGTATGCAACAAGCTTGAAACAATGGAAACATTAATAAATCCCATCCACGAGGCTTGAGCCTGCTAGCTGCAACCCGGGTATCCCTTCACAATTTCAGGTTTGCGAAACCGACCTCAGTGTTACCGACATCAAAGATCGTGTACACGTTTTGCAAAAATACATCGCCAATAATCCAGTGTTCTTCCTCAATACTTGAGCATACTTTTGTGTTGTATTCATTTATAGCACGTACCTCCAATCCCGGGCATGCCAGTAAGGCCGGCGATGCAATCCGTAGAGCCTTCGTGAACGGGCCCCAAGTTGAAAGTACTTGACGAGACAGGGAACAATCGTCCGCCGAATGTCAATGTTGGTGCATATAATCCGATCGTATCACAAGGGACTGCATTAATCTGTCAGGGTGACTACCCAAAAGCCGGAGCATGACCAACCTGTCCAGATTTCATCGACGGCCCTTGCGCCCTTGACATTTTCGTAGTACTTCGCAGCATTTTCTGGATCTGTGGCGATGAAGGCCGTCCCTGTGTCCACGATAGCCTGTGCTTTGTCGGTAGGGACAATCATATCCTCTCCATTCTGGGAGAGCCTGTCGAGTTGGATCTGCCAGTATCCTTTGACTGTGACCGGGACAATCGTAAGAGTGTCTGGTTCGTACATTGACGGGTTTGATCCTCCGATACGAAGCTCACTTTTGTCCTTCTGAGTGGACAAAGAGATTCCGAACACATTCATGCGCAAGACATGATTATCCACGAGGGTCTGGAAAAGGGGCGTGGCACCGTATGAAGAAATCTCTCGAAAGGCAAATCCAAGGAGCCCATCAGGAGCATTAGAAGCGGCGAAGTCAGGATAGTATGTATCAGCGGCACCGAGTGTTTGATTGATTGCCTGGTGAGAGTGAGCATTGAATGGCAACATGATGTGATTGCAATTTGTCCTCCGACCTTGTATCCAGCCAACTCCACTACGTCTGTGTATTCATCTCCGCCCATCTCCGTTCTATTTCCATATTTCACAACGAACGGCGTACTGAGGTCAAGAGACGTCGATGATGATGTGGCATTGTACCGCCGATGCCCGGCGCAGGAGATGCCGCATCGTACGGAACTGAGGAGCAGGTCTGCGGAGCCAGTGTCGATGTGCACTTCAGGGGCATTAGCATAAATGATCATAGATGGCTAGGCGACTGAGAGTACTCACCTGTGAATGATTCCGGAGGCTCCCCAACCGCGATGGATCCATACCATAAAGTGGCACTTTGATTCTTTAGGGGGACAGAGTTTCCGTCACCGGTTAGAGACCCTGTGCTACGTTCGCCGAGTTTGTAAGGAGGACCACGATTGCTCAGAGAGTGAGGCGAGCCTGTGTTCAGCATATAATTGCGCGAGGTGACATTGTACTTGCTGGTGAATGTCAAAAAATACATTTCCGCTAAAATCGACGGATAAACTTACTGAGAAACGGCCGTGAGATGTGCTTTCACATCTGTCATGGTTGTATCTCCGGATATTCTACTCAGCGGGATACTGATGGTGTTTCTTTGGTAGGCATCTAGAGGTGATGCCACAATGAGAGAGACGAGACAGCAGAGCGTCAGTAAAGCTGTGGAAGGACGCATGATGTTGACCTGTTGATCTCAGGATGAGTCAGTGCTTGCTTTTATGACTTTCAAGGCAGGCCATGCTATTTGGCCATACATGCACGCGGCAGAGATGACTAGACCACGGTTTCCAACGACTTGACAGGTTGTCAAGTATGCTATCTGTCGGGATACCTCAAATCCTACATGAGAATGGACCGAGGTGTCTCGCTGCTCGGAAGAGATGCAGACAGCAATGACTTGAGCGTGGCACAAAAAACAATCCTGTCGCCCTCTATCCATACAAGGTTCAATGAAATATTGTCAACATACAATGGTGCTACAAGACTTATGTACATTACTTGGAAAAAGCCCTCAGCATTCATTCGTCGATGCGAGTCCCGTTGGAATTCATACACCACTCTAACACAGCACAGGGCGGCCACAAGCCATCCGGCTCGTCACCAGCGTCTTGAAGGAGCAATGCCACGACACCGTGCGGCGGAACAGCGTGGGCTGTGAAGTTGCGAACTACAGTGCCGTTGTCTGTATGCGTCCAAAGGTCCTAGACAGACAAAGCAAATCAGAAGGCCGCGGACAACCTGCATGAGAGATGAAACTTACCCGGACAGTGTATTGTCTGCCAGCTCGGATCCACGGAGATTCAGTCAGCCTGAAGAACATGTCGGCGGGCTCATCCAGTGTGTTCAACTGTAGAAAATTCGAATTATTTGAATAGCACGTCTAAAAGAGAATACGAACGAGCATAAACACAGTCCCGTTCTGACTCTCTCCGCTCCAATATTGTGCAGGATGTGTGTCGTTGCTGACCCAATCAGACTATCGATGCAACGTGACATCAATGACGTGGACCTCCGATTAACAGCAAATGACTTACATTGATGCCCCACCGGAAAGGTGAGATGCTAGTGCCTACAACCGAGTCTTGATGGATCGCAATAATTTCTGGATTGGTCAGAATCTCAAGGGTTTCTTTGGTAGCAGAAGCGAGCTACGTTGGACGTACGTGAGCGGAGGGTTCGTCAGCAGGGATCGGACTTACATGAGTGCCAATAAGTAAAGGTGACTTCAAGAGCGCCCACGCAGTAAAATGGGACTTCGCTTCTTCGTACGTGAGGGGGCCATTACCACTGTCGATTGTGAGGTGACAATTATACTCGGCCTCTCAATGACGTACATTTCAAGCTACAAAAACTCGTGTCAGCGCAGCCAATAACACCACAGAACATGACTAACGATGTCCATGTCATTATGGCCGTAGAAATCAGTTGCCCAAGTATAGAACGAGTTCCTGGAAGATGATATGAATTACTCTAGGATAAGCAACGCGGCTTCCTTACTGGTTTAATATTTTGACGATTGATTGCCAGTACGGTTCTTGCCCACCGATCAGTTGCTTCCTCAGTGAAAGGTTTCGAGGGGTTTGAACGCTTACCAATATCGTCGGTCGTCTAAAGTATCCGTTAGCTTCGAAAAATTTGTGATACGTGCTCTATCTCACCCTCCAACTTTGCCCATATCTACGGGCCCAAGTCCAGCCTTGCTCCTGCAAAAACAGTCCATAATCCAAAAATTGCAACGAAGTGGAGTCTCACCCTTCCCCACTGGCACATCGACAGAATCAAGGGTGGTGTTCCAGACGACAGTGAAAAATCACCAATGGCGTTTGCCATACGTTCGTATCCTAGACACGTCAGTGAGGATTATGACAGAGGTGAAGAACATGAGTACATACTTCCCATAATATTTTCCCGAGTTATGTTGTCGAATGGAACTGACATACATCGAGCAATCACGAAAAGGGCATGAGGTGAGGCAGCGTACCAGCACAATTATCATATCTGTCAATAATCACTGTCAAGAACAGCCGTTCAAGTCAGTAAATCGAGACTTACTTGAGATAATCAAAACCCCAGTCATGGAAGCGTTTTGCGTCTCTGCTAGATATGATCATGATGTAATGACCAGGAGCGGAATTGCTGACCTTGCCTCGTTCTGGAATGAGCCAGGATACAGCTGGCATGTGAACCAACCCGAATCACTATACTGCATGACAGGGACATGGTCAGGGATACAGGAATGACTGAATGACAGGTCCTTACGATGCCAGCTTTCCTGTGTGCGCCAAAGAAAAATCTCAGTGAAATGCAATTTTAGATGTATATATAACATCTCACGCACAGTCCGAGATCATGGATTTTGTCTGTGAGAGCCTTCATTCCAGATGGAAACTTCGTGGCGTCTGGCCGTAGATGTTAACATATGAACCGTCAGGAAAAAATAGTTGGACCTTCAACAATATCACCATCATCATTTCTGCTTTTCTCTGAGTAACAATCATCAATGTTGACATATGTATACCCAGCATCCTAGTGGTGATACCAAGTTCAGCCACTCTGAATAGGGCCGACGGCGAATGATACTTGCCGCCAAGTTGAGCGATTTCATAAGCTGTGCGTTTTGTAAGATGAGATCCTCGTCTATGTCGCACTAAAAGATCTGAGTTAAAACCTTCCGAACTAGCCCCATACCACTCACATGGTATGCATTCCAAGCTGTGCGTGAGGCGCCAGGTCAGTATCGACAGCTTTTTTTCGGAACGTGAAAACCTACTGTTATAGCCCATCACTTATCACCACATAAGAAGATGAACGAATTGGCGAAGACTGAATCGTGAAAAACGCACCTGGTAGTTTGGCAACTCGGTTATCCAGTGTAGCAGAAACGCGGTGAGGGGCATCATGACGGTGGGCGAGGTATGTGGTATATCCCAAGATTGCAGCCAAGGCTAATGGAAGAAGGACAACAAACGATCTGTTAAGCTTCGAGCGAGCTTATGAACGTAGACATGGTCAACATTCACTGCCTCCCGGTGAAGCTTCGAGAATTGTCATACCAGTATACACTGGACCTCCAGCTCCATGGGTAACAAGAGGGTTCTTTTGAATATGCGCAACTTCCAGCTTCATGGCTGAAGGATGACAGTTGGGGTTGTCAGCGTAATGGGCGATGATATTGTGGGGAAACTTGGGGTAAAACTCGGTCTGTTTAAACCACGGAAGCAATAAGGATACTCGCACGACGGAAGCTATGTATGTACACATGGGATAAATAAATCGATCCCGTAGGGAAACGCAAATATCATGCATGGCGAACTGGAAGAGTAAAGAAAATTCTCAACGTTCAACGTTCATTCCTCCGGCAGTCATAGACTCATAGGAGCGGTCATGTCTATCTTGGCATGCCTTATAAGGCATGCAAGCCCTCAATTTACCAGCCTTGGAAGCGGACCCGAAAATCTTGCAAGCGGGGCTCAATTGACACTTGCAAGCTGATTGCAACCTCATTTAGGGACAGATTAGGACATATTTTTGCAAAAGTTTCGTTTACGTCCCTCAAGAGCCTCGGGTCCCACCTTTGGAAATTTCCGACTTCACAATCAAACTAACGAGTAAGTTTCCAGTACTGCAGACAAGATCCACACTTCGTGGGAGCTCTTGTACGGTTGTGTCACGGGCCCCGGCGTAGTGAGAATGAGAAAAAAATGCATGATTGATGATTCCAAGCGGATGGTTTTTTTCGGGCGAAAGCCCCCAAATTGCCAATACTGACCCCAACTTGTACAAAAGTGAGCCGAGGTGAGCTGCGAGGCCTGCAATTCCCACATCAGTAGAAGTAAATGTGATGCAGCAAAGCGAACTTTGGATCCCCAAATCGTAAGAGCTGCAAAGCAACACATCAAGATGAAGCCAGATGAGGAGACAGTTAACAAAATAGTAAGAAGGTGTCCGCGTGAGCATAAGTACGGGCATCTGTGTCAATACAGGCATCCGCGACAATGCCGCATATCCACTGCGTCAGATCAATGCAAGCATGCGTCAATGCAGACAACCAGGTACGTGCAAGCATCTGCAAGCATCTGCAAGCATTCGCGTCCACGAAAGTGCATGCACACAGCAGCACATGTTGTTGGCAAGGACGAAACTCTCGCTCGCCACTGGCAAAAGGTGTCATGATGACTGTTTAGATCATCCGGCGCGGGCCTCCTTGGATCTCTGATGAGAAACCTGACGAGAGTTCATAACGGTGAACTTTCTACACGAGTAACTTGAAGCTTGAGAGAGCAGTGCAGTAGCACCCTCTACTCATGGCCAGATTCCCCGCCGGACTTGCCCTCATTGCATGCAGATGCACGCGAGGATCAGAGCCACCAGAGCTCGCTACAGTTTGTGGCAGAGAAGAAAATCCGAAAGGCGCCAGATGGCAGAGCTTGCTGGCCCGGAAATATAGCCTGGGTGCTGCCGGTGGTGCGCAGTTCGAAAAGAGAGGCAGTCAGCTTATTCTATGTGACCATACACTCGTACCTCACTTAGGGTAGAATTCCAATCACTTAGCGCCCCCGTCTGTGGCTTTCAAGATTATAGAATATAGCTCACAAGACTTTGCGACAGAGCCCAAATCGATTTGTAACTTTTCCACTAAATCGAGAGGAGCTGACGAGAGTAATATGTTACAACAACATCCGTTTTGCCCACCTCGGCATCGCGATGCACTCCCGCACATTTTCAATTCCGCTCATCCAGCTAATCAGACGTTCGAACCCCAGCCCATAACCCCCATGAGGCGCGCTTCCATACTTCCTTAAATCCACGTACCATCCGTATTCTTCCTCCTTGAGCCCATGCCTCCGTATAGCCTCGACCAAATGAGAGGACCTCTCTTCTCTGAGCGACCCACCCACGAGCTCACCGATGGAAGGAACTAGAAGATCAAAGCACGCTACAGTCTGCCCGTCATCATTAGCTCGCATATAGAATGGCTTCAGGGAAGTTGGGTAGTCTGTGACAAACACAGGACCGCCAACAAGTCGTTCCGAAACCCAGCGCTCGTGCTCGCTTTGCAATGCTCTCCCCCACGCAGGCTCGAATTCGAATCCAACTCGAGAAGAAGCATGGTATTTCTGCAGCTCATTTACAGCATCAGTATATGATATGCGTGTCCAGGGGATTCCTGGGCGCGATGCATCTTCCAGAGATTTTAGTTTTGCTTCGTCGCCATCTTTCCAAAGGAGGGCGTGTTCTGATCGACACTGAAGGACATTTTTGAGAGACTCCTCGACCACATCACATATGTCCCCGACGTGGTTAATAAATGCCCATTCAGCTTCGAGCATCCAGAATTCGGCGAGGTGCCTATTTGTTTGGGAACGTTCTGCCCGGAAGCAAGGAGAGAGCGTGTAAACCCGAGACAGGGAAGCAGCAAGGGCCTCCAGATGAAGTTGCGAAGATACAGTAAGATATGCAGGCTGGGAAAAGAACTCGGCTTGTGCGCTCGAATCGGGCGATTGCCTTGAAGGAGGGGCGGAAGAAGCGGGTGAGACACGAAACGTTTCACCACCGCCCTCGCAATCGTTTGAAGTCAGAATGGGCGTGTGCACGTAATGGAAGTCTTGGGCCTGGGTTCGGATGTGTCAACAACAGGGCGGACGATGGGATTTCCATTAGCACCTCATAATAACTATGTAGCATCCGGAGGACAGAGTCACGTAGACGGAGCATAGCAGCATTGATATCTGTTCGGGCCCTCAGATGAGCATTGTCCCTCAGAAACTCCACGGGTAAGGCTTGCTTCTGGATAGGGTAGGCCTTCAAAGAGTTTCAATTGACAACCTTTTATGAATCAGTAATACGTACCTCTGGGTTACATTCGCCCAAGATATCAACCGCCTCAACTTGCAGTTCATATGATTGTCCACGGCCCGTACTTTGGACCAGATTGCCACAAATGCGGACACTGGCGCCATTGGTTAAGCTGAGGGACGGTATTATAGACCTCTATGTTCAGAAATGCCTTGGGAACATACTTGTGTGGGGTAGCATCTGGCTTCAAGACTGCTTGCAGGCCGGAAGCACAACTTCCATCATTAATCACCGCGAAAGTGACATTTTTCTGCCTCCGTACAGATTTGATCCAACCACTCAGTTGTACTTCAATCGCCTGGCCAGTCGGTGGCAAGGAAGACAACAGCTGTCGGATCGTTGGGGGCAACGACGTTGAAGCTGTCGCAAAACGGCGCAGGAGCATGGAAGAAACTTGCACAGCCACACGTATCTTCGAACCATTTTTGTTGTGATCTTGTGGCATTGACAATGACATTATTATGACTTATGTATGGTCCGCAAAATGACTCAAAGCCACATGGGAAGCCTGGCAGGATAACTCATAAATAACTGATACAAACCGAGCGAATGTGTAGCTCGGTGCAATATTTTAGCATTAGCAAAAAACAGAAACACGATATACAGATGTGACAATGCAATACGAGCATGATATTTTCAAGACTGAACCATCAGAAACCCCTTCCTCGTCCCCTTCCCCTCCCTCGGCTGCGCCCGCGGTCAACTAACCCCCCTCGTGCACGGCCCCTTCCGCGTGCATCATCCTTTTTCCTGCCTTTGGGTTTTGGTGCGTCATCCACTAATAGAGTATCAAGAGGGAGGGCATCGGGAAGCACGAAGTAGCGGATATTGTTGCCGCGGATAGATAGAGAGTCGAGGGATGTTGGGTCCCGATTACGGGCTGTCATTTTGACAGTTTTAAGGTGGGTATTCATCTGCATATCTACACCTGTAAAAATGGTTTAGATTTTGTAAAGTGTTAGTTTTGTTCAGATCTGACACACCAGTGATTGTGCCATGGACTACAGAACCGTTCTTGAGCTCAATAGTCACGGTCTCATTATTGAGTTTCATCAAGAATCTGATGAAAACAAGGGTCAGCGCCCGATCTTTGTAATGCACAAAATGAAAGTTATCTTGAAAATGTCAGACCAAGACGAAAGAAACGCCTGCAGTATTCACCTTACGAGCTTCATGGTGGATTACGTCGATCCTGCAGCTGTAGTACTGTCTGAGGCTGATCGAGTGTCGAGTCGGCGCCCCTGTTGACTCTTGTTTGTGTGGTGGATCGATTTGCCGTCATGTCGGCGGTTGCATAATACATTTTTCATAGTCCGCTGTACGCGAGGGCACGCACTGACTAATCACATCAACCACGACGCTTTCGAGAAGATTCATTGACTTTGCCCGTCATACATTTATATAATTGTTGATTTGATTATAATGGTATTCTCCGAATTACTAATTGATGTAATATCAATGGTTACTAGTATGTTTTCCTAGAGAGCTCGCTGGCTTGGGAAACTGATTAGTGTTTGTTCTTATTTTGAATCTTCATATCGCCGCATATGTCCGTTGCCCCGAACAGTAATTCGGCCCCTGGTACGTACACCAAAGAACACCGAATATCTTGAGTCACTGCGAGTGAAAAGCCAATTAATTTTACCGCCCTGACTAGCTCATTTTCACGAGCTCGTTGCAAGTGGCAACTCCCGCCTCCGCTCATCGCTATAAGAACAGTGCTGACTCCTGAGGATTTATTGCATACCAAACAGAATCTCTGGGAGTTACTAATGACTTTGTCCATGAGGACGTTCGTCGCCGTTGCAGTCGGTATACTTTCTGCAGCTACTTCTGCCAATGCTATCACAAACGGTGTTGGTAAACTGCCTGGTCTGTCTCTCAGTTCTTGCCGATGCGATGATGAAGTTCATTGACGTGTTTGATGCAGTGATGGGTTACAATGGTACGTAGTATTGTCAAGAGTGCAGGAGCTCACCATTGATGATTAACGCCTGTGGCTGTCAGCTTGGAACGCCTTTGCGGTAAGTGAAAATTCTCAACCAAGAACAGTGACCTCATCGTAGTATTCGATAGTGCAACGTCAATGACACTCTCATCATACAGACTGCGAAATACATGAAGGAGTATGGCCTCCTGGTTAGTATCGTTGGCACATCTAAGTCAGACAAATTTCACTGGTTTACTTCGTTGTAGGATGTTGGTTATAACCACGTCAATCTTGACGATTGCTGGGCTATGAAGAATCGTAGCTCTACTGGCGAGGTCATGTCGGGTTGGTTTTTGTTAAACATCGAATACATGTGCTAATCAACCCTCATCAAAGATAGCATCAGGTTCCCAAGCATGAAAAAACTCACAGATCAGCTCCATGCTCTTGGTTTGTACGTGAACATGTATTGTCCGTACTACAACACCATTCACATATGCCTCCTAGCTACGCAGGCATTGTGTGAAGGTTACCTCTGACGAAAAGATACTTTCTCACTGTCAGTCTTAGTATTCCGACTCTGGCTGGTTTACCTGCGCCGGATATCCTGGCTCCTTCATGCATGAGGAACAGGACGCAATGACCTTTCAATCCTGGGGTTTCGACTTCCTCAAGTGAGCACTACTCATAAGGATGACTAGAAGGTCACTAACAACTCAATTTAGATATGATAACTGTGCCAGTAAGCATATCAGTGACCAGGAACTACCAGCCAATGCTGACCATTTTCGTTCCAGTTCCATTCGATGATATCATCCGAGAGGGCATGGTCGGAAGTGGGTAGAAATCCTCTCACCGTAGTCCATTTCCTAAATATTTTGAGCTATAGAGTACCAGCGCATGGCAGACGCTCTCGCTGCGGTAGCGAAGAAGACTGGCACTACCCTAATATTCAGTCTGTGTGAGTGGGGCTGGGTAAGTCTCATCTCCTATACTCATTTGTATTGCATCTCACGTCTCTGACGATCTTCTCAGAGTCACGTTTGGTTGTGAGTATCAATCTCATCCTGACAATCACTGTCTCACAGGAAAAGTATAGGTGGGGTGCCCAATTTTCTCACAGTTGGAGAGTTCGTCACCTCTCATCTAAACTCTGGCGACACACTGACCAGAAATATGATTAGATTGATGGCGACATTGCGCCTCAATGGAACTCGATTTCTAGTATCATCAACTCGTCAGTCACTGCTTCACGGGACCTTCTTCTCCTAATATTCAATACAGCGTGTCGTTCATTACTCAAGCTACTAACTACTATGGGCGCAATGATCTCGACATGGTAGGTGCAACCGAAGGTCTCGTTTTTAATAGTACTTAGTATATCATTCAAATGACAGCTCGAAATAGGCAACGGAAACCTCACGTACGACGAAGCAAAAACCCACTTTACTGTGTGGGCTCTTGTTAAGGCCCCCCTGCTCATTGGCACCAACGTGGGTACTTCATTCATTCCAAACAATGCAGCTCTCCAGCGCTCCTCACGTTTAGCTCGCCACCATAAGCCAGGAAATGCTCAGTATCCTGAAGAATCAAGAGATCATCGCGGTTAACCAGGACCCCATCTATGGCACTAGCATCTCGCCCTTCCGCTGGGGCATCAATGTACGTTACTGCCTTGGTGTTTTTTTATCATACACATCGTTGGCTGAACAGCCTGACTGGACCTACGATGCAACACACCCTGCTCAATACTGGAGTGGTCCCAGTGAGAAAGGAACGGTTTTCATGCTTGTACGTCATCTCAGAACCTCGGTATCATAATCATTTCAATAATAATCTACTCTAGATTAATACTTTGAACGAACCGGCTAATCTGTCTTTCAACCTCACCGAATCTCCTTGGATTCGTGCCGGCATCCAGTATTCCGTCCGGGTAGGCACACACGTGGCACTTCGCAGTCATTATTGATCATTTTTTTGGGATAGGATTTGTGGACGCACACGAACAACGGCACCGCTGTGCGTAGCTTCACGGCCATGAATGTCCCCGCGCATGGTGTAGTGGCGCTATTGCTCAATGAAGATGGGAATGAACCCGCTGGGTTGGTGCCACCCTGTGCTGGCGAGGCTCTTTCACAATGCACTGCTCAGGATGGGACGAAATACTCATGAGCCACGTCTAGTCTTACCCCTGACTCAGGAAGTAGCCGCAATGAATATTCATTCATTTTATCGTTGCGGTCTGTTGGATACAGTATCACAGTCACTTTGATTTGGTTAACTCATCGTGTGTATTTCAAAATTCAACGAAAAATTCAAAAGATCGAACCACGCGGATTTGCTAGAGTTGTTGGCTGATATGTCGGTCCTAAAATTCTACAATTATTCAAGTGAAAGGAATCTACAAAACAAGATTGGAGATCAACCCGAGAACCAAGAGCAATTTTGAAAGCCAGCCCTGCTACTGTGTGGCTTGTTACGATGTGTCTAACGTATACCAAGTACAATCGGCCGCCGTACCCATTGCTTAGAGTGTTGGGGGAACCATCCTCGAGCCCAGCACCGACAGTATGCCTTCATATGTGGCTTCTATGGTCTGGAAGTACTCCTCCGTGTTCTGATCTTGCATGTTGCCAGCGGGTACATCCAACGTAAACGATGGCTTGAAGCGGAGATAGCCAGAATACTCGGGGATATCAGCGTCTAGGGATAACGGAATTCCTCCCTGTTAGACACAATGTATCAATATATGACGAGCCAAAACCTGAGATTCAAACATACTGCCACAGAAGTGAGATATGTCCAAGCTCGCGCGGCATTGGGCGTGTTATAACCACCTAAAGCCTAGGATGGTATGCGGGAAGATGTTCTGATAAGTAGCACCATACCTCCGCCAAGTAACATTTTTTTCCCTTTCCATTCGTGGATGATGCGATGTATGCACCAGCCGAGCGAGCCTTCGCCACCTAAGGACCAGTTGAAGGTTGCCATGGGATCACCCGCTAGGCCATCTAAGCCACACTGAATTATAATGAAATCAGGTCGAAAGATGTCCTTGACATGTTCGATGATAGGCCAAATGCGGAGGAACGTTTTGTTGGATGCACCAGCTTTGAGTGGCACTGATAAAGTGAAAGGATCGAAGGCCGGATCATCGACGTCCGGAAGGGAAGCGAGGGGGGAAAGAGGGAAAAATCCTGGAGCTGCGTGATGAATAGATAGTGTCTAAAAAGAATTCTTTGGGTCACATATTGTCAATGATTCAAGGTGCACGCACAAGAACTTGAGCAGCAGCCGTGGAACCAGGTTTGTGAAAAGCTTGTGACACTGCATCTGAAAAATGAAGGTCAAGGTCGAGATACATCACACGTGGTTTCTTCAACGGATGTGTAGAAGGTATTGTTCGTTTGAGGAAAAGAATAGCGAGAACGCAATCAGCTACGTAGCAAAAACCTGAAGCCCGTGCTTTTTTGGCGTGATGTCTGTATATGATGACACTGAGATTCCAAGGACAGTTCGCCATGAACTAAGCGAGCATTTACCTTCCGCCATCCCAGCAAATGGCTATGTCCGAAATATCGTTTCTAATCGCAGCCGCTCCGGTCAAGGTAGCTCCAGCGACTAGTGTGATGTAGTCTTTGATTCCATGAAACATGGGGCAGTCCTACATAGTGATACATTGACAGGTCGCGAAATGACAAAATCTGTTTGGTATACGCACGTCTTCAAGCCCAAACTCTGAAGCTTCTAGCAGGTTCTGCGCATCGCTTGATTGATTCATGACGTATTCAAGATAGTCACGAGTGTGGTAAGCCAAGAGCTCCTTCTGGCCAGCAGGCCGTGGTCGCACAACCAGAAATCGTTGGGACTCTTGACCAGTGCATGTTGCCAGAAGTCCATATGCGTGAACGAGTGAATAGACGAGGAGAGAACGATTTCTATTGGAAGGTAGACGTGAAGATATCTGCCACGGTGGTGCAGAATATCCGAGAGAATGGATTAGACATCACCCGATGACACACAATGGATTCGTAGGTAATCGTGCTCACTTTGACTAGGTCTTCTGAGAAGATGTAGGCCACGGGTCTAGCATGCAACCCAGTAGATTCAACACGGGAGTCCATCTGAGTCTAGTCTGTCACAGCGGGACGGTCACGGTAGTCACGTACCTGGCAGTTAGCAGAATGAGCGTACACTGTAAATACTGCTTTGATCATCTTCTTTCTTACATGGATTTTCATCAACGACGCCAACTGAGAGTAATATCCAGCCTATATGTCACGCCGGTATACGAGTAAGTACACCCTTTCTCGTACGTAGAATAACTGATTTATGTACCCTTTCGATGCGATAATACGAAGTGATTGACATGATAACCCAATTGAACTCAGTTGTGAGGTCACTTGTTAGGCTTCATTAGTAGACAGCGCCTTCCGCAAGAACTGGATCGATTCCTCCTCCTGCCGACCAAATATTTCAAGAGCTTCTTTGATCTTTCGAGAGGTTTCTGCATCTTTTGGAAGTGCAATTTGCAAGGCAGCTGCGTTGTTGGACAGATAGTCAACATCAAACACTGTATTTCAAACTTGAGATTGCGGTTTGAAATCGAAAATGCAACAAACAAACCAGACTTTTCTTCGATCACTTTCAATGTAACAGCGGCCAACTCATCATCTGATCTTCCTGGAGCAACAGCGAGCAGAGTGAGAACCCTGTCCGAAATTGTCAAATGATGCGGACGAAGTCTTGCTAGAGCAACAGCCTGCAAAAGTGATACGCATGAACATGCAGGAGTTCGTCAATTTCAATGCTCACCTCGTCTACTGTAATGATACTGGTTGCACAAAGCAGGTTGAGTGGATTATACTTTCAGGGGTAAGTACAACTTTTACCTCGCTGGCATTACAGCCGTGCTAATTTGTCTCTCCTTGAAGGCTTGGATGATGGAGTATATGATCGGTGACATAGGATGCTGCCGAACGGGGTCGCTGTATTCAATGTATGAGGAGGAACCTTCAGGAAAGTGCACTCGTAATTCTGGAGGCTTTGATTAGATCTCACTTATAGAACCAAGTCTGGAAAGCCTACCATTGAAGTAAGGTGCAATATAGAGACATCCCGCCTGCGATGCTGCCATAGCCTGCGGGACAGAGAACAAACAAGTTGCGAGTGTACGTATGCCACTTTCCTCTAGCTCCTTGCACGCAAGGATACTTTCAGGAGTGGCTGGTATTTTTATACATACCCTATCTCTGTGAGAAGCACTATCAGTCTGCCTTCTAAAAGATGAACTAGAATGTTCTACCCACCTAGATATGCCGTGTTTGCCAAAGACACTGATAAGAGCCTTTGCGTGTGCAACGGTGACATCTTTGTCGTACGCTGTGCGAGGGGATGTCTGTACGAGAACCCTACCCGTCTTGTCTAGATAAGGAATAACGATGCTGGCTAGAAGGACAGTCTAGATAAGAGAATTTCAAGTTGATCGATGTGTATTGTGATCCCAATCATACATACCACGAGGTCGAGCACCTTCAAAATACCATCCTCTGTTGATATGTCGATTGCGGCGTCTTGTACATACTGAGACACAAGGGGTTCCAGGTTCACGTCCCACTGTACTTGTAACTGGCCATTGACAATCGCCTGGTTAGATGTCATGGAATGAAACGTCGTCGAGACAGACAAGGATTCGGCTGCCTTGGCATCCATTGAATCGATGTCCACGAGAACCCCTAGGGCTTGTATCTGCGACAGTAAGGTATTCGCCATGATAGCAATTTGATAGAATCAGTGAGTATCAAGGATAATCGATATCTCGAAGTGCCTCCGAGTGAATCCCAAACCCCGTGTCCATATTATTACGTACCGGTCACGAGCAAAGACATGCACTTTTTACCGTCTCTTTCGTACCCGTTATTGCCCACTACAAGGAGAACGTCTCTCACAAGCCTTGGCGCTGGCCAATGTTAGTGGGAGATGTCTACCAAGTGTCTCCATTGCAAGTACTTCCCTCTCTATCTTTGGAAAGCATTCCGCGTCTTCAAGTCATTGCCCTGGTCTCTGCAAGATCAACCTGAATGTGGTGGTCCATGAATGTCGCTCATAGTGTAACGGGAACGAACTGCAAGGGGAACCCAAGGCCAGACCTCTATAGCGGGAGGCTACGACTCTATCTATCGAGGACAGACTACGACACGCGCGACGCGGCGCGAAGGCTACCGACTACGAGCCAGGACACCTGCCACCGCGCCAGGACACCTGCCACTGCGCCAGGACCTGCCTAGGTCTGATGGGACGCCCTGCAGCCCTGCTCCATTGGCACAATGCATCAATGCATCATTCCCGGTTCACAATCCTCGACTCCTAGGCGGGCTATGATCGGGTTTTTCCCTGTCATCCTCGTGGTGAGGTGTGTAGCCCGTGAGTTTCATTCGGCATTGGATGTTCCATTGATTGAGTTGATCTAGATTCGTTCTATCGGAACAACTAAAGGGGTCCAGATATTGCTCTTTCTTCGTCGACGGTAGTACTCATTGTCACATTTGTCCTCGAGGACGTTAAACATTTGTCTTTTAGGACGTAACACGTTCGTGGTCGCAAATGTGTTCTGATTCGGCGTTTATTGAGGAGCATGTTGCATTTCTCAGTTGTCTGTCCAATTCCGAGTTTGTTGCGTCATCGTTGTGATTCACTGACATTAATATTAATGGTGATGTCCTAAGCTCTCGTCTCGTTGATGTGAAGTATTATTTTGATGCAATTTGTGGCATAGATCGATTCGCGCTATCTATATGTGCATTTGATAGCAAGTAACAGTCCAGAATATGATTTTGCAATTCGAAAATCGAAAAACGGAGCACCGGTCCTTGCATTCTTCACGACGAGCACCTATGAGTGTTGCGCAAGAGCGCGTCGATGAACCACAAAGCTATTGTTCTCTTGGAGAATTCACCAGACAACTACCAGCATGGTGCAAAGTTGCCCGCCACAAAGTACACCAACAAGATCATGCCGATGCAAAGAAGAGAAAGAAGCTGGAACAAGCCGCAGCAAGATGATCTGAAAGTCAACATGAATTTGTACTATTTCTACCGCAAAAATAATGTACACATACTTGCGAATGACAAACCAAGGAGTCGGGGATCCGGGTGCTTGCACCGTTACCGATTCATAACTCTGACTTCGCCTGCTCCCGTGATGTATGATACATACTGGAGACCCGCCGAGCCCGCCATACGAAAAATCCAGCAGATAGATTCCTCGATTGAAATGGGTTATGATTATAGTCCCACGGTGTTACGAAAGATGTCGGTACTCTGGCAGGCCTGTTTCAAGGGTAACCATCGTGACATCCTAATACCATGATGTCGCGCACCGTTACGGACTACGGTAACTTCATGGACACGTGGGAAGTTGGGAATCGTGACGAGAGCAATATTGGGTACCGGGGGACACCAAGTTTGAAGAGGCCAAATCATTAGCCGGACCACCGGAAGTAGCTAAAACACCTCCATTGATTATTACTATATAATTCCGGCTTCAGAAGCTTCAAATTGCCTCTGGCACCTGTCGCTACTAGTTACTAGTAGTACTCACTGGCAATTAGCTTGACAGAATGAATTTCACAGGCTAAAATCAATTACTCAAGTCAAGTTCGGGGAGAACGTTTTGCACGAACCACCGCTTGTGAGTCTCGTGCACGGTCCTCCCACTTGCATTGATCATGCGTTCCACCGCGCCAAACGCCGGTCTTCCCCCGACATTATGTGACTCTTATATAAAAAGGCATCTGTTGGAGTACTTTCTACAGCATCTGGTCAGCTACGTATACCCTATCAATTGGGTTGCAAGATGCTATCCAGCCTTCTGAGTTGTGGTGTCCTTGCAAGCGCTATTTTCGCGAGTTGTGCTGCCACCGTGACGACTGTCAGTGTTGATGGCACAGCTTCCCATAGCATTCCGCCTCTGCTTTGTGAGTTGAGATATTTACCTGTGACCCTGAGTATTTTGCGTTAACATACTGCTCATGATCAGTTGGACAGATGTTCGAGGCAAGTCAATAGTGATGAAATTCGTGCTTCCTTTCTGACATGCAACATATCGGTGACTCGTAGGATATCAGTGTACGTTTCCCATGTAATGTACTGTGACCTATTAATCATTTCTTCCCTCATTGTAGTATGTAAGAGCATATCATCATGGTCAAGATAATTTATAAGTGTTTTTAAAATAACGTTTACCCTCTTGCGCAGAGCGGTGATGGTGGCATCTACGCCGAATGTCAGTGCTTCATCGAATTTACGCTCCTGGTATGCTTCTGAGGTTCTTTTGCAAGTGCTTCAAAACCGCGCCTTCCAGCAGGTGAAACCAAGTAAGATTCACGTAGCTATATTCTTCGAGCTGTAATCCTTGACACGTATCTAGATGTAATTGATGCTCTCTTCGGCTGGGCCCCAATCAACGGCACATCCATCAATGTTATTGCTGACCCCATCCCGCTCTCTGGTGCCCTGCCCAACTCCCTTGAGCTCACCATCCCATCCGGCTCCTCAGGTCAAGTAGGATTCGGCAATGAGGGCTATTGGGGTATGTCCAATTAACCTGGGGACTTGTACATCGAGTTCATTGTTTTCTTTCTAGGCATAAACGTCAACGCCTCTTGGACTTACAACGCCTCTTTCTACTACAGATTTCCTAGGGCATCCAACTTTTCAGGAAAATTCACTGTCATGCTCCAGTCTTCTATGGGTGTAGTCTATGCAAATGCTTCTATCCCTGTCTCCGGCTCCACCACAGCCTGGATGCAGGTCATGGTGCATCTCACACCTACCTCAAGCCCTGTGTCAACTACCAATATCTTCACGGTCACAGTCGATGGTGCCAGCGCAATTGGAGAGACGATCAACTTCGCAATGTTCTCTCTCTTCCCTCCGACATTCAAGGGCAGAACCAATGGCCTGCGCATGGATATTGCACAGGCGTGTTTTCATCTAGAGTTGAATTAACATGTTCTGACAGCAGCACGCAGACATTGTATGACATGAAACCTTCGTTTTTCCGTTTTCCTGGTGGTAATAACTTGGTAGGCTTTATATAGCGCCATATTTATCTACGTTAACGATCTTTCTAGGAGGTAAACATAAATATTGGCCGGCCTATTATGGACTCGATCATTAACGCAACACTAGGGTAAAAGTCTTTCTACACGCTGGCAATGGAATGCAACGGTAGGCAACCTCACTGACCGTCCAGGACGCATGGGTAACTGGGGATACATCAACACTGAGTCCGTGCCATTCTCATGACTTTGACTCCGCCACCAATAACAAATTTGCCCCTTTTTCAGCGGTCTCGGTCTTCTCGAGTACTTGTATCTTTGCGAAGATATGGAAATGGAGCCCATCATGGCTGTATGGGCAGGTATATAACAGGCGTGCATATCATATTGTTTGCATGCTTATTTCACGCACAGGGTACTCACTCGACGGGGCCAGCCTCCCTGAGAACGATCTTGCGCCATACATTCAACAGGCAATCGACCAGATTAATTTTGTCATCGGTGATCCAGCCACGAGTAAACCAGCTGCCCTGCGTGCATCTCTTGGCCACCCAGAACCATTCAATCTGCAGTATGTCGAAATTGGAAATGAAGACTTCTTAGCGTCAAAATCGTGAGTTCCTTATTTAAAATTAACGGATGAATGAGCATGTCAATGATGCACCACAAGGTATATGTACCGCTGGAAAGATTTCGCGGAACACTTGGAGGCTACATTCCCTCATCTGAGTGAGCACTACACTGCTGCGCAGGAGCTTGCCTCTGACTGGTATATTTCTTTATAGAGTTCATCGCGACCTCGCACCTCTTCAATCGCACCCTTGATCCAATCCCAAAGCAGTACGATAACCACGTGTACCAGACACCTGGCTGGTTCGCAGAAAACACGTTCTACTACGATTCTGTCGAGGTTCGTACGCTCTGCATTCGCCCTACATCATAATGGGAACCTGGCTGATACGGCCGAAAGCGCAATGGCATTTACTACTTTGAGGGTGAATATGCTGTTGTATCAACTAACGCCAGCGATCTCTTTGGCAAATCCTTCAACGGTCGCCTCGTATACCCTAATATGCAAGGTGTGTGTTCTCTCGTGGTTGTGAACGGTACCTAAGGCCAGGACAGGTTCTGTAGGGGAGGCCGCATTCATGACCGGTCTCGAGCGTAACAGTGACATTGTATTCGCTGCGTCGTATGCCCCGTTGTTAATGGTGAGCTGACTTTTAATTCTGCAACTAGAGTGAACACTAATAATCGCACTTTAGAACACTGCTAACTATCAGTGGTCACCCAACCTTATTGCGTTTGAGTGAGTTGCTCAAAACAATTGAAGATATATATCAGATTCATATCCTTTTAGTGCGTCACATGTGTATCCATCAACCAGCTTTTATACACAACAGGTAGTGATATTTGATATTTGAGTAGAACTGCATCCCTCAAACATCTGCTGCAGCTCTTCAGTCTCAACCGTGGAACCGAATATTTCCCAAGCACCCTGCCTCAAAATGGCACACTCTACTGGAGTGTCACGCGTGATGCACCCACCAACACGGTTATCATCAAGGTACTCAAGGCTCTACTTGTTCTGTTGGTTGTGACGATTCATATTTTATCAAGGTTGCCAACACGGGCATGACAGCTGAAGAAATGTTATTCGAGCTTCCCTTCAACAGTGTTCACGGCACTGGCAATGCGACAGTGCTCTCAGGCTCTGCCACTGCAAACAACTCGCCCGAGACACCCAACGCTGTCATGCCGGTCACTTCACAGATTAAAACTGGTAAGAGTTTCTCATACACTGCCCCAGCGTACAGTGTCAACGTGCTGCGGGTGGAGGCGAAGTAGGGATAGAGTATCACTTGGTGACATGCAATAAATCAGGAATATTTCGTATGGACCATATCGTATGAAGACCGCTGCCTGTACTCCATCCCAGCTCCTACTACAATAGGAAGTATGCATGATATTATGTTCTATGTTGTAGTACATAGAGTCAGACACTAATAAAAAGTTGTTCGTTCAGCTTGATGGAGCGGAATGCGATGACGCTGGTGACTTTGGCATGATCATCCACAACTCCCTTTTCTGTACCATTGTGAGCTTAACGTCCTTCCCGACATACGGCTTCAGCTAATTTCAGGAAAACAATAGACGGGGGGAAATGTTGGATGAGGGGTAGATACACGTGTGCACAACGACCAAGAGTCAGATACAAATCAAGAGAATAACAAAGCAAAAGTAGTCAGAAAAGTAGAATTGATAACACCTATACAACATACCTCGCTCTTTTTGATCTCCTCTATGCTTGGCGCTACAAATACCCGCACTTTCTCGTCCAGTAAACGGTACTTCGACGCGCCTCGGATGACATGTTTGCCTGGGGCACCCGTGCGGTGTCCACCAGGGAGAAAGGCCTGTCTAGTTCCTACGTACAGTGTGAGCGTTGATATGAGAGGACCGGTCGTTTAGACAGAAACCATAATTGGGGACAGCCCGACACAAATGAGAAATTGACAGCAAGGTGTGTTCTACCATTCCAAGAGAAAAAGTTGCTTGGCTCACCTTTATAGAAGTCCTTGTTCCCCCGCTTGGGCGTCAAAGCTCGCCGCGAAGCTTTCGAAAGACAGACAGCCGTGAAGAACATTGATGAATTACTTCGGGTCTGTTAAACTTGGAGACAACTTCCAATCATTTGCTTACATAATCAACTCGACTCAATAAACCTGTCGCTTTCGCGTGGAATCCTCAGGGGCGAGTTGGCTTCAAAGGTTTCCACGCGCAGACTCGGAGGTTGTACTACCTGATAAGTACAGTCACGATGATGCCAATTGCTACTAGTAGCAGCTTTCTCGGTACCCCATGCGCATACTTAATATTGTTAGGTGGATCATTCAAGTTATGGGAAGACACTCTGCGTTCTACAAAGGAGCTTGACACGTTCGCGCAAAATTTGAAATTTGAAACCTGAAGCTAACACTGCTTTGTTGTCGTGGGGTGTCCGGCAAGCAGCTGTGAATTGACCCCAAACAGCGCGCGCTCGTTGTAGTCGGAGGAGAATAACAGCCAGGAGCTGCCAAACCCTCGTGGGGTATGCCGTACTCATGCGAATGCAGGAACAAGTTTTTTCCTCCTTAACCTCTGGCTGATGGCAGGTCCGGTGCCTGGCTCAATCTAAACGTTGTCGAGTCATATCTGAATTGTGCACCAGTCCGTCCTATATGGCGAGCCACGCGGCCGTGACTGTCAACTCCCAGGTAATGGACAGCTCACAAGAATAAAGAAGTGATTGTCGCATGGACGTCACAATACTATCCTTCGTGTATCAACAAGGAATGACCAGTTACGGTAGGCATGATATTATGTGGGCCTTGCTCTCGTGAGCACAGCCCATACAAGCCCAGGTACACCGTTTTCCATGACATGTGAATCCACTGCCGTCTCCGATTACGCGTTCCTCGACACCCTCTACCCGTACCTCGGCCAAGCGGCGCGTATTAGGTATGAACAGGAGCGTAATACATATCTCACGCTCATGCACGTGGAACGTGAGGCGCAGCTCGTTGTCAGACTCACTATGTGCAGAGAGAAGTGAAACGAGCGCATGACAGGTTGAGGTTGTGGTCGAGAACCTGCGTGAAATCAGAGAGTTAGAAGTAAGAAGTAGTCTCACACTAGAAGTTGTGCACCAATCATGCAGTCCAGCCACTCTTCCGTCTTCCACCCTTTCACCTGTGCCGATTTCCACAGCCTTTTCCGCCTCTGCTCTGACACTCCTCAGCTTTTCGACCTCAGCCGTCCCAACTTTTATCCGCTCTCGTACAGTAGCAATCTTCTCGTGTGCATCTGCAAGTTCCGTGTCTAGTGCTTGGATCTCTTCGACCTGACCATCAAGTTGCTGGTTCGCTGTGGTTATTGTTAGGAGAGGATGGGGACGGGTCTGTCACAATCGAGTAGTAAGTGATAGATGTGCATCGAGTATCATTTGTGAGAGCGTGGATGCTTGATGAGTGAGGCCTTGAGGGCTTGCGCTTTCTTGTAATCTACGCTGATTGTTAGGATATGGGAGTAGGTTCGATCATGGTTGTGGCGGAAGATGTCAGTCACGACTCAGCGCGGTCACGTGTTCATGAAGGAGTTCAGGCCTCAGGAGCGCTAGTCAGCGGTGGCTTGCCAAGTTGCAAAGAACCTAGAACTACTTTCATAAATGTGAGTGAAACATGGCTCATGACCAGCCTGGCATGAGATACTACCAGAGTTCAAGTAAAACATACATGCAGCTCGGTACCTTAGCTACTGCAGGCACACCCATTCATAAATATTTCGTGGAACAAAATTTAAACGTGCGACTTGCTGCCATGGCACAAGCAAAAAAAGATAGCAAAAAAAACCCAGTAACTTTGACATCACGACCTACCAAATGATTAGAGAGGTGGTATAAATATATTTTACGTAGATGCATCTGGCGGCCCCCACACATACATACACCATGCAATACAACAAGAGTGACTAGTGAGGTATGGCGTCCTCCCGAAACCAAAGCAGAGGCGCAGCTAGCAATTATAACAACAATTCGTCATCGTGTACACTTGCTTTTAAAACACTTACTTTTTACTTCTATGCACAGCTTACTATTCATCCATCCATACTGAATAGCTCATCATCATCCGCCGTAACAACGGGTTTGCTCAGTGGGCTCTGTGCGTGCCAGTTCCGGTTGCCAGGCGTGCCACGCTGGATACCTAGCGGTGAGCCTTGTGTTGGCGAATGCGCCAGGCCGCTGTTCAGAGGCGACCGCGACGTTGCGGCAGCGGAGTACGACAGGCGCGAGAACATCGACTCCAGGCCTGCCATCGAGGTCGAGAGAGGCATTCCTCCCACATCTGCAGCGGAAAGATGGTCACCCTGGATGGCAGAGCCCCCAACCCAATCCTGGTTGAGGGAGTATGGGTTGTTGTTGGAGCCAGGGCTGAAGGCTGCGGCTGAGGAGGGCGACATCGTCATTGGGAGTGCGTGGATCCGGGAGTAACCCGCTGCAAGCCCCTGCGGCAGACTCTGCCCCGGTGCGTGCGCTTGCAGAGCTCGGATGGAGGGGGAAATAGCAGCTGGGCGCTCTTCACCTTCACCAAATGGAATGGGCCGTCCAGATGCATGTTCATCGAATGGCGTACGATGACCACCAAGAGAGCTGATCCGCGGGGGGGAGAATGAGGTTGGGGGTGGATTCTGAGGGGTGGCTGGCTGTAGGGGGGATCCAGCAGGTCGGCCGAGACCAGAAGTGGAACGCTGGATGCCACTTGGCTTTGAGTTAAGGTAATACTGGTGTAAAGAAGGGAGAAAAGCGGCCGAAGCATTGGATGGAGAAAGAAGGGAAGAAGATGGGTTCACGTCTTCATTAGTGAAGGAACGACCTCCGAAGCCGCTCGAGGATTTGAATGAACTAGGTGTCCCGACTGCGAGATTGAATGCATGAGATGTGTCAGGAGAGCCGGGAAGGCCTCCGGTCCGCTCTGACCAAATAGACTTTACGTCACCGAGGAGCGAGGTGGCAGGCACGGAACGTGAATAATGGTGGCGGGAACCCTCCGCTTGCGAATGTGCAGTGAGGAAGGGAGGGTCAAGACCAAGACCGTTGTTGTGTACCTGAGTAGGGCGGACACAATTCGTACGCGACATTCTGCGAGAACGTTCCTCGGGGGTCAAAAGGTCATTAAGGGAGCTTGGCAAGAACTCCTCCAGGTCTTCGTCTTCGACAGCAATCTCGTGATCGAGACCACGCATATTAAGACTTCCGTCCCCACGATTGACAACTTGCGAGGGGACAGGACCAAGCTCTGTCTTCCACGTGCCAAGAGATGCGGCGAGTCCGGAACGATGTTTCGTGTCCAGTATCGAGGGTTTGGCATCATAGGATTGGAATACAGTCTGAGACTGAGCAGGCAGCGTGGATGAGACTGGAGCAGCAGCAGGCGATGTGCCGGGTGAAAATCCATTGGCAAGTCCTGTGCGGGGAAGGGAGCCACGTGGCGGGGATCCGATGGGACCAAGATCCGCGGAATCTGTGGGACGATGTGATAAACCTGGACGTCGCGTACTAGGCATGCTGAGGGGAAGTGTTGGCGGGGAGGGACTTTTACGGTCTTCCTTAAACTCGCTAGCTTGAGCGGGTGCTGGTGACTCGGGTTCGAGTGGTGGCGTAGGCCGTCTCTGAAGAGGCGCTGCTGGCAACTTTTCCGTATCATCTGGGAGTGAGAATGAAGCAAAATCGGTATCTTTGAGGGGTGGGGCGGGTGCGGATGGGGAAATTGTGGCCTTTAACGGCATGGAAATTGGGGGACGAGAGGAAGCGCTGAGAGACCTTGTAGGAGCTGTGGAACCGGAAAGAAGACTTCCACGAACATTCCCTGCGGCGGAGACGCCTCCTGAACCATTATGCGCATGAGTATCTTTCCTGACACTCCTCCCTGCTTTTGAGCTATCTTTTGGACCACCACCTCCCGCAGCGTTGGCAGCGAGCTGAGCCGACTTCTTATTTTTCCTGTCCATAGACATACTCTGGCCAGGAAGAACATGTGCTAAAGCACACTTGTGGCCAAACTTGCAGTTTCCTTTGACGAACCATGCGCAGACGTCCTTCTGCTGGCCAGGCTCTTGGACGTTATGGGAGAATGGACAAGAAGAGCCTGCTGTGCAAGCGCCGACCTTGAAAAATTTACAAGGTACATGAGAGAGATCTTTGGCTAGAAAAGAGAAGATTAAGTCTAGGAGGGGAAGAGGAGAGGGGAGTTGTAGTACACTTTGAAGAAGACTTTGACTTGTGAGATTTGTCCTTGTCCTTGTCACGGTCAGAATCTGGATACCTCTCAGCCTCATGCTCTGAAAGTTTTTCAGAATCCAATTTTTCGTTAGAAGGCATGATCGAAGGGGATTGAAATAAAGAAGGGAGGGGGAAGGAGGAGCACGGGACGAGTAGGAGAAAACCTGGGTTAGAAGGTGCCTTGGCAGGTCCTTGGAGATTGCTCGTTAAAGGAATTAAATTATTATCACATATTGATTGATAAGCCATCAACAATATTAGCCGGTTAACCCCCCTATCTTCTGCCCGATCTCAACCCCCCAATATTAACCTTGTTATTGTTCAGTATCATGTAAGTATTGTCCATCTATCTGGTCTTCTATCTTCCGTGAACTAAATTGCAGACCATGGATATCTCTCTTGAGGATTTTTGTGCCGATAAATCTTACCGGGTTCTCGAGCTCATCGGAGAGGGAGCATACGGTATCGTCTGGTATTGTTATATCCTGTCTGCGTATTACAAGTCAACTGCTCACTTTCCTCTCAGTTCAGCAATACATCATCCTTCCCAACGCAAAGTAGCCATAAAACGCATAGCACCATTCGATCATTCCATGTTTTGCCTTCGAACATTGCGCGAGATAAAGCTCCTTCGTCACTTCCGTCACGAGAATATCATTTCCATCCTCGATATCCTCCAACCTCCAAGTTTCGATCAATTCAGAGAGGTATACCTCGTTCAGGAACTCATGGAAACCGACCTACATCGCGTCATACGTACACAGCAACTGAGTGACGACCATTGTCAGTATTTCATTTATCAGGTACGTTGCAGAATACATATACGCCAAGTATAAGCCTTGGTACCGAACGATCTTCCTTCTTTCCAGGCATTACGTGCCTTGAAAGCACTGCACTCCGCAGATGTTCTCCACCGAGACCTGAAACCTTCCAATTTGTTATTGAATGCCAATTGCGACCTCAAGGTACGTACCGTCAACTTCGTGTAACGTACGTGCACAGCTTTAAACACCCCTTAGGTATGCGACTTTGGTCTGGCTCGTTCAGCCCGACCGCCGCCAAATGTTGCTAATGATAGTAGCACTTTCATGACCGAGTATGTCGCGACTAGGTATGATCGACTATCAATTCTCCACAAAATTTGTCATGACCAACCCGGCATCTTAAGATGGTACCGTGCACCTGAGGTCATGCTTACCTTCAAAGAATATACTCGTGCGATTGACATGTGGAGCGTCGGCTGTGTCCTCGCAGAAATGCTTAGCGGGAAACCTCTATTTCCCGGACGTGATTGTATGATTTTTCCCTTCATCCCTTGCCCAGTCACTCACGCTTCCTAATCCTCGTTGCCACATCAAGGTAAGTATAATCCAAATCATGCACACATTTTATGAACCCCGTGTCGCCCCTCAACCTTGTTAAATTAGATCACGACCAGCTATCAATTATATTAGACGTCCTTGGCACACCCTCCATCGATGACTTCTATGCCATCTCTTCCCAGCGATCAAGAGAATACATCCGTGCACTGCCGTTCCGCAAGAGCAAACCATTTTCCCAGCTGTTCCCAGCCGCCAACCCTCTTGTGAGTTGACATCCCATTTCCCGCACATCTGACATCTCTGTCCACAATAACTGAGCCATTATTTCCCACAGGCAATAGATTTCCTAGAGAAATGCCTAACATTCAGCCCAAGACGACGAATAACTGTCGTCGAGGCTTTACAACACCCTTACTTCGAAGTCTGTATTTCCTTCTCAATCATTTTCCCGCTGACCACACACGCGACAGCCTTACCATGACCCTGATGACGAGCCCGTAGCCGACCCAATTGACCCCTCATTCTTCAACTTCGACAACGGCGAGGCTCTAGAAAAAGAGGATCTCAAAGGTACGCCGAGATGCCACTGCAATATGTCCATTCGTTGAGAGAAGCTTCAGTACTTATTTACAAGGAAATCACAAACGCGCAAGCATCCCAGCCATCACTCTTGTTGGCTAAAGATGCCTAAATGTATTCGATATTGATACCCTCTAGTGTAGCGTCGTATTCAACGGACCTGATGTATGTGGCACAATATCACATGGATGTAGCAAGAAATTCGAAGGCTTGACATGGGAGCTGCTATTCAGGCATCTGGAGTGCTACGCATGGCAGTGAGTATGTGGAGTGGACAAAATATTACCTTCACGTACTCGGCTCCATGAGGTTCTTGCAGATGCCTGATGAGGCATTCAACCATAGCACTGCGCTAAGTTCCTTTGCGTTGTTAGCATGGGTTGATAATTCATACTTCGTCGGTGGCCGATTTTGGGCGTTCTTATGGAATGCATTCCCCGCACGTGCAAGTCCCCCTTATGCATATGCTAACTGCAATGCAACGAGTCTGATGTACGCCCATAACTTGCGTCACCGGTAATTACAATCACTCCTCCCGACAGCGTCACCTCACAGCCTACCCGAACCCCAACGTGTCCAAAGGGAAGCTTGCCTAGTATGATAAACGATAAACATATCAATAGGTAACGTAACCATCATTGCCTACCACCACGCTCAATTCATGGCACCGAACTCCCGTGTCAACTCGATATCAACTCTTACCACTCGTCAGGCTAACATTCCACAGATACAATCAGATCGATCCTTACATTGACAAAACACCACTTCTTTCCAGGAGTTATTTCACTCGAGTCTTGATTGCCTACGCGCATAAGATATTTTCTTCAGCCTCCGAGGGGCCTACATGCATCGAAAGAACTTCCTGCACAATTGTAGCCATGGTTTGCAACTCAACAATGCTCACAGACCGGGTTTTGTTCATGCCACGTCAGTATGTCTGCAATTCCTACCTACGGTATCTAATGCGAAAATCTCATGGAAGCTTTGAGAGATTAGTTAAGAACATGTTGCATCCCTAGGATTGCTCGATAATTTTTAGGACCGGCAAACAGACCAAAGGACACCATAGTAGGTAATTTAAATCAAATGTTTTACCTTCAGTGACATCACTCTAGGTCGCCCTCTGACGCAAGGCTTGACCTATCATCATCACTGGGCATGACATGATTGGGATTCCGCACGAGAAGATCCTCAGTGCTCCTAGCTGCATCTTCTAGATATGAGATATTGAAACACACAAACGGAAATACGAACCTTTCTCTCTGCGTGATGTCTCATAACTCTCCTGGAGCTCTGCAATGATAGTCTCCTGCATCACGGCAACTTCTTCTGCCGATGCGCACGTTTGGTATCGTTTGAGGTATGGACTACCATCAATATTTGAATCAGGACAGAACAGCATGATCATAAAAGGACTGTACCCATTAACTTTCCAGAAAGAATCGCCCCACCCAAACGAACTGAGCAGGGTCTCTGCATGCTGATCGAACCCTGTAATGTAGAAAGTTGCTGCAAGTGCCTCGACGCAGTTCAGCCGCCAAGGCTTGCCGTAATTGGTGGGGTTGGTAGCAAGCAAGTAGGGAACTACCAATAACCCATCATCGACCAAAGAGACGTGTAAGATAAGAATGGACCTACGAAGTCGTTCGTGTGGGCTGGCAATTTTCGAGAATGGGACGTCGTCTATGCGGGCCCAGGAACATTCGACAACGGCAACACCATCTCGTACAACGATCTCTTTGTCTGCTGGACTCACGACGAGGGTCCCTTTTGGACTGGTGGAAAAGATTGATGTTAATGTAAATGGACGTTTGGAACGGGTAGACGCACGATACGACCACGCCTCGAAATCTGGATCCCACCCTCAGCTCCGTTATAAGACCGAGGCGGGCGAGTTTCTTCCCAGAACATCGGCGTGGATCACAATGGTCGAAGTCCTTGATTGTTTGTATTAGAAGAACGGCACAGAGCGAATGCCACGTTAACGCACCCACATCGCCACGGGTACATCGATGTGCGGTCGCCCGGCTGTGCGCTCATGAGTGGTCGTTTGACTACCTTGTTAAATTACTCGCATTCATCATCTTCACCTGAGGAATGATTTGAGCTGTCATCTTCGATAATGCTTGAAGGCTTGGCGGAGTCCTCGGGGAAGCTAGACAATGACTGGGATTGCTGAGAGGTTCTCGCGCTCTTATGTCGTTGTGCACGTCCACCACGTCTTGGTCTGTTCGCACGGGAGGATGAAGCATTCGAAGTATTCTTTTTGCCCATGATCGTGTGTACTGAACTCTTCAAGCTTTCGAGTCAAAAAATGACTTCACACGATGCGCATCAAGTCGGTGATTGCTGCTAAAACCCGGACGGAGTCGGGAGCACCGGCGGGCGAGAATCGGCAAATTCCGGGCAGGCTAGTTTTTGGTATAAACCCATACTAGTAGTACCACTGTGCAGCTTACGTCCTTCCCCTTCTCCACTGCTGCTGCTGTCGACATCGTCAATGATTCCGCGTACTACCATACGGCGTTTTCCAAGTGTCTTTGGCACTACTGGTGCTGCTCGCTTAACTCCAACAATTGTACACCGGACTTTAGCTACTCCCGCAACACCACCTTCTCCGAATGACCCTTTCGCAAACGGCACCAATGCCTACTACGCAGAGGAGATGTACAGAATTTGGAAACAAGATCCAAAATCTGTTCATGCTTCTTGGAATACTTATTTTTCTGGCATGGAACATGGTCTCCTTAGTGCCCAAGCCTTCCAGCCACCCCCGGGCCTCATTGCACCCCCTGCGGACGGTGCCCCTGCGCTATATGCCGGCGGAGGTTCTGAGCTTGATGATCATCTGAAGGTGTGGATCCTGCTCTCTGCTGTGGTGCTGGGTGGCTGATCGCCTGTAGGTCCAACTACTTGTGCGGGCTTATCAAGTTCGTGGCCACCATGTCGCTGAACTGGATCCCCTCGGCATTCTAGATGCTGATCTCGCAGATGTTAACCCTCCCGAACTTGAACTAAGCCGATACGGGTTCAATGAGCGCGACTTGGACAAGCAGATTGCTCTTGGACCAGGTATCCTCCCTCATTTTGCGACAGAGGACCGGAAATCAATGAGTCTAAGGGAGATCATTGCACTTCTCAAACGGATATACTGCGAGTGATTTTTGTTATTTACCTGACCAAATTCCTCATTTTCTCTGTAGGTGGCGCGGTGGGTATTCAATATGTTCATATCCCAGACAAGGAGCAATGCGATTGGATTAGAGAGCGTGTCGAAATCCCAAAGCCTTGGAACTATACAGTGGAGGAGAAACGCATGATTCTTGACCGTCTTATCTGGTCAGAGTCGTTCGAGAAATTTATCGCAAGCAAGTACCCGAACGAGAAGCGTTTCGGTCTGGAAGGCTGTGAGGCGTTGATTCCCGGCATGAAGGCACTCATCGACCGATCTGTTGATCATGGTGTCAAGCATGTCACAATTGGCATGCCTCATCGTGGTCGTCTTAATGTTCTTGCCAACGTCATTCGCAAACCCATTGAAGCCATTCTGAACGAGTTTTTGGGGACGGATGTAGACAACCCTGCGGGCGACGTCAAATATCACTTGGGTGCAAATTATGTTCGCCCAACACCGTCTGGCAAGAAGGTCTCTTTGTCACTTGTTGCCAACCCATCGCATCTAGAAGCCGAGGATCCTGTTGTCTTGGGCAAGACCTACGCCATACAGAACGTGGAGGGCGATGAATCCACTCACAACACTGCAATGGGTGTGCTGCTGCACGGTGATGCCGCATTTGCTGGACAGGGAATCGTCTACGAAACCATGGGTTTCCACAATTTACCCAACTATGGTACTGGTGGTACCATTCATCTCATTGTGAACAACCAGATTGGTTTCACTACCGACCCTCGTTTTGCGCGTTCCACTCCTTACCCTTCCGACATAGCCAAATCCATAGATGCCCCAATCTTCCACGTGAATGGTGACAACGTTGAAGCTGTCAACTTTGTCTGTCAACTCGCGGCTGATTATCGCGCAAAGTACAAACGTGATGTTGTCATCGACATCGTTTGCTACCGTCGTTACGGCCATAATGAGACGGATCAGCCCCATTTCACTCAACCCCGGATGTACCAGGCGATTGAAAAGCAGCCAACACCACTTACCCAGTACGCGAAATTCTTGGTCGGCCGTGGGACCTTTACTGAGAAGGATATCGAGGAGCATAAGAAGTGGGTCTGGGGGATGCTGGAGAAGGCAGCCGCTGCGGCAAAGGACTATGTTCCGACTAGCAAGGAATGGCTATCCGCATCTTGGCAGGGTTTCCCTTCGCCTCGACAATTGGCAGAAGAGACGCTGCCAACCCGTGCGACAGGTTCTGACGAAGAAACTGTCAAGCGCATTGGAAAGGCCATTTCATCATATCCTCCTGGTTTCACCCCGCATCGCAACCTTGCTCGTATCCTTGGCGCCCGTGGCAAGACCGTCGAAGAAGGTCACAACATTGATTGGTCAACAGCTGAGGCTCTTGCGTTTGGCTCTCTGGCGCTCGAAAAGATACACGTGCGCGTTTCTGGTCAGGATGTGGAGAGAGGTACATTCTCTCAGCGGCACGCTGTCATCCATGACCAGAAGAATGAACAGCAGTATATCCCTTTGAATGATCTCGGTTCAAATCAAGCTCGGTTTGTTGTATGCAACTCGTCGTTATCCGAATACGGGACTCTCGGATTCGAATTAGGCTACTCATTGGTTTCACCGAACTCTCTCACTATGTGGGAGGCACAGTTTGGTGACTTCGCCAATAACGCCCAGTGCATCATTGATCAATTCATCGCCTCTGGCGAACGGAAATGGTTACAGCGCTCTGGCCTTGTCATGAGCTTGCCACACGGGTATGATGGTCAAGGTCCTGAGCATTCAAGTGGAAGGATTGAGCGCTTCCTGCAACTTTGTGATGACCATCCTAACGTCTTCCCCACACCGGAGAAAGTCGAGAGGCAACACCAAGATTGCAACATGCAAGTCGTGTATCCGACGTACGTGTATCTTTCTAACTCTCATGAGGCCACTGATCTGATGGGTTGCCTCAGTACCCCCGCTAATTATGTAAGTTCTGCCCTTTGGCTTCGTGAGTATCCCACTGAGTTTCTTGTAGTTCCATGTTCTTCGTCGTCAAATTCACCGCGACTTCCGCAAACCACTCATAATCTTCTTTTCAAAATCACTTTTGCGCCATCCCAATGCTCGTTCGGATCTTTCGGAGATGATTGGCGACACTCATTTCGAACGCTATATTCCTGATTCCCATCCTGAACACCTAGTGCCTACTGAGGAAGTGAGACGTCACATCCTCTGCACCGGTATGTTGCACTGTTTGTTTGGTTGTCGAGTGAACTCAACACAGGATTAGGTCAAGTATACCAAACACTCATCCAGGAGCGTGATGCCAAAGGCATCAAAGATGTGGTGATTAGCCGAATTGAGCAGATTTCACCTTTCCCCTACGACCTCGTGAGTCAGTTTCTTTAGGTCGTCTACAGGGTTTTATTAACTTTTACAGATCACTCCTCATCTTGACAAGTATCCCAATGCAGATATACTCTGGTGTCAGGTAAATCTTTGCGTCAACTCCTTGTATTCCAGCTAACTTGTACGGTAGGAGGAGCCATTGAACAATGGGGCGTGGACTTATCTTGGACCTCGTATTCTGACTGCCGCCAACGAGACGCAGTACCACAAAGGCAAATATCCGTACTACGCAGGAAGGCAGCCGACAGGCTCTGTCGCTACAGGTAGCAAAGTAAGTACTTGGGTTTTTGATTGTCTACTCGCTCTAAGCCACGCGACCAGGCCCAGCACAAGAAAGAGATCGAGGAGTTCTTGGCCGCTGCCTTTGCTTAATAGTGTACGATGCTCAGTGACAATAATATATATATATATCATAGCGGCACGCGAGCGCCGGTCCCTTCTTTTGACTTGCTGGTGCACCGGTGAACCTTGGCATAACAGTCATCTAAACTTTAAAGTGTGTTTTCAAGACTGAAAGTTGGTAATCAGATTAGCTATAGGTAACATTTCACCGAGAATATAAACTCATTCATACGTTCGTATGGAGCACCGTGGAAGTTTTAACTAACTGCCGTTCTAGCTAGTGTTCTAGGAGACAAACCTGCACTGCTCCTAGCTAGTACTACATTAATATTAATGGAGCGAAGTTTGTTGGTCCATCACGTGATAGTCACGTGTACACGCGTTATGGTTGACATCCTTGACAACACTTCTTTGCAATCAAAGTCCTCTTCAAATCTAGCCCTCGTCTTCGAAGACACATGTCTGGCACACACAAGATTAAGATCGCTGCGCGCCTGCGACCTCGCATCGAGCATGAGATTGATGACCAAGGGATACAGATAACGCACGATGAAGACGTAGAAGGACCGTCGTGGATTTGCGTGCCTAACCCACGGGACGTGACGCAAGTCTTTCGCTTTCCGTGCGTGTAATTTTTTTCTTCAATTATAACATGTTTTAGGTATCATGTGCAGTGACTTACTATTCAACTAGATTTACCAGTTGCTACGACCAAGATTCTACACAAGAGGAGATCTTTGAGCAGGATGTGAGACCGCTCATTGACGTTGTATACAGTGGCGTCGTACGTCCTTGAATTTTCCTTCTGAATTCTTGTTATATCAATGAACGTAGACCGTAACAATCTTTGCGTACGGGGTAACGTCCTCTGGCAAGACACACACAATGCAAGGAACAAAAGTATGTCCTGGTGTCATCCCAAGAGTTGTTGAGGTGTGTATCTTTTCTGCTGCATGTTCCGCGTTATATAATTGCCAATGCGACTGTGACAGGCCATGTTCGAACAGAAATCAGCGTTGCTACGGTCCAACGTCGAACTTGCAGTATCGTACATGGAAATATATAAAGACGAGTGTTATGACTTGCTAGTTGATAGGGAAACGGTATGCTTAAATTCTACTGACTTTTTTCGAAGTTGCTGATTGATGTCTTGGGATGTGCAGGCTCCAAAGCTCCCAGTGCGAGAGAATGACGTGGGCCAAGTCTTTGTTGCAAACTTGAGTTCCGTACCGATAACCTCAGTCGAGGAATTCACTGCAATTTATTCGTACGTAACTCTATTCTGGTCACTTGCATCATCGCGGGTGGCACCCAAGCACGCATCTGCTTACCTCTAAATGCAGCCAAGCATCAAAGCAACGCTCAGTGGGCGCAACGAATCTTAACCGTTCTTCGTCTCGTTCACATGCGATGTTAACACTGGAGGTAACGATGACTGATTCTTCGGCAGAGAAATGTAAGACCCAATCGTGAATTCCCAACTTCCCTAGGCAGTTGATATATCATATTCTTCTAGCATTGACGGGAAAGATTAACCTCGTTGATCTTGCTGGTTCAGAGAACAATAAGCTAACTGGGAACGACCCGACACGGATGGCTGAGAGCGCAGCCATCAATAAGAGCCTGAGTGTCCTCGGGCAGGTTGTACATGCATTGAACCAGGGGGCTGTGCGTTTTTTTGTCGAGCGAAGGGATTTGCAAACTGACGGCATGCACAGTCTCGAATACCATATCGCAATTCTAAGCTCACGCGCATCCTCCAAGACGCCCTTGGCGGGAACTCCGTCGGATTGCTCATCTGCAATCTTGCTCCTGGAACGAAATTTAGGCAGGATACGCTGAACACGCTGAAGTGGGTTGACGTTCATATCTTTATATCTTTAGCCTGACTCACAACGGCCTTCAGTTTCGCAGTGCGGACAAAGAACGTCGAGAACAGACCGGTGGTCAACGAGCGCGGTGCGTTGCGATCACCAAACCGCCCCATGATTCATGAGAACTTAATGCTCTGTAGACATGCGACCTCAACCCAAACCCCACTTTGCAGCAATTCTACCACCACCTCCGAAACTTGCACCCGCCGTACTCCAGCCTTTAGAGGCTGTCGCAGGTCCGTCACGTGGTCCACGTCCTAGCATTGCCCGTGCCGCACCCAGACCAAGTCTTGCTGGCGCAGGTCAAGGCAGATCTCGTGTACCACGCGCCAGTGGCATTGGGGTATTTAGTGCCCAGAAGGGATATCGTCCTTTGGGAGTGCCTGCACTTATTAGCGAGGCAGCGGAGACAAGTAGTAGCTCGGGGATGATGCAGTTGACAGATAAGGAAATTGATGAGCGGGTGCGCGAATGCTCCTATTTTGGATCACCCTATACATTGCTAAATACAAATCGATAGATCGCAAGAGCCGTCGAAGTTGAAGTTGCCCGCCGTCTCAAGGAGCGCGAAGAGCTTGAACGACAGGAGAAGGAGAATATCACTTTGCAGTTGAATCTTCAAAGAGAGACGGAAAAAGAAAAGCTGAAAGAAGAGGACCAAAGACTTCCGACTGGTGTACTTACCCCACTTATGGCCCGGCATCGGGATCTGGATAATGAGCTCCGTGCGAGGCTCGAGGAGTTGGAAGACAAGTAGTACGTCTGCTCTACCAGTGATGTCATGCTACAGCACTGAATGACTCACAGCGAACGCGGGACCAAAGAACTTCAGCTAGCAGATGTACTTTCACCTAGTTCGCGGAAGAAAACCGGACGTGCATACGTGATGCTGGCTCGCGCTCACTCCGAAAAGTACGTGGTCGCATATCGACATGCAATATGCATCCACCTAATGCGCTAATAGGGGCGATCTCCAAGTAGCGCTCGACCTATACCGCAAAGCCGAGTCATATGTCCCAGATAACGTCAAGCTGAAAGAGAGGTGGATACTTTTCGTTATTCATGTTTTCCTTTGTATGGTATCCGGGTCAAAGCGATAATTCTGACCTTTTTCTTTGCTTGCCTTTTCTTCTCTCCGCGTGGCGGAATGCATGGAATAGAGTCATCGAGATCGAGTGGGCGGTGAAGAATGGAACCACGTTCGTCCCTTCTCCGAAGAAGCCCAGAAAGGCAAAGAAGACGAAGGCTGGAAAGCGCAATGCGGTGGGCAAGAAGGTCATGAGTGGAGACGAGGATGAAGAGGATATGCCTGTGGATGGGATTCATCAGATGCTGGAAGGCGAGTTGGGTGGATCCGCAAACCCGCTGAAGAGGTTCAAATTTGAGGAGGATGTTGTGCAGGCTACGTCTGAGACTCCACAGAAGAGGGTCAAGTGCGAGATCAAGGTCGAAGGAGACGTATGAGCTTTTATCAGTTGCAGTGCCGCAATGTCATTGCATGTATGATTGTTTTGTGTGTAATTTATTTTCCACCCGGTGTGCGACTATTCTTCATAAGACTCAAAATAGAGTATCAGCTACTTCAAACGCCCAAGTCAATCTTGATGGGTTTTGAAATTTGAAGCCACAAGGCCGAGCGTTAGTGTTGGTAATTTTAGACTCGTCACAGCAAACGGCTTCAAGTACAACTTCTGTACTATGTACTCGAGAGTCCTGGGGTGGCAACGGTAATTCTTGGTGCCTATTACTTAAGTAGTATGATACGGAACTTCAATCAGGTCTAGTTAGCGGCTTGTTGAGCGCTTCATTTGGGGATGCCCTCGCGGTAATGAACCGCAGACCCGCAAAAGGAAAGGCGGAAACGAGTCACATTTCTAATCACGTGTAGCACGTGCTCGGGCGCGCCCCCATTAGTCAAGTGGCGTGTCCCGCTTTTTCCCACGCGAAAATTGGAAGACGCACCCCTGTTTACCTCAACTCAATCTACCACCATCTTCACCACTGAACAAAGCCAAATTCTAAGTGCTACTACTATGGTCGCCTCGAAAACAAAAAAGACGTCCAAGTACACGTATGCGGAACGTGAGCAAATTTTTTAACCTCCTTGGACGCGTGTTTGGGGGGATGGTAAAGGGCATCACTGATACTGACGACTCTCAATCTAGGGGTTCTCAGTGCATTTTCACAGGCACAGAAAGAGCACAGGAGGCACAGTGTACACCTCGCTACCCTTCGTGCGCATGGTGAGGTGTCCATACCTGCAAGGAAATTGTTGCTCATCACCTTTGTTACTAGTGAGAAAGATCGCGAAAGATAGGAAAGATAAACTTGGACCTCAGTGGGCATCATGGGTAGGAAAGGCTGTGAAGAAGCTTGTACGCTTAAAAGTTTCAAGTTTTTTTGAATTCTACTGATTTTAAGAGAGCAGGAAGGGCAGGGAGTTTTGCAGCCTATCGACTCCAGTGGATACGTTGGCATGACTCCGGAGGGGAAAAAAGTGTAAGCCCAGCTACTAAGATCATCTCAATGTCGAACTCAATTATTTTTAGCCTCTCATATGCTCGTCGCAAGTTCCTTCCGACTGCCGCTGGGGACGCATCGCCTGCGCAAGAGGATGCTGTCTGGAAAAATGTCACCGAACACTTCTCCCCGTCAGTGTATAAACGGCAGCATGCGAGATCTGCATCTCGTTTGAGGTCAGTTTTCGGTGGGGAGGAAGAAGCTGAGGAAGATAGCGCTTCTGCACGCGGAAGTCCTAGGGCAAAGAGACAGCGACGAGCACGGTCCCCTGTCAAGCCCCCCGAGCGGTCCTTGGCAAAGATGACCAAGGCAGAGGTTTGTTTGAGATAATCAGGATTGTAACTTGCATCTCACCATGACACGTAGCTCCAAACTAAGGTCCGAGAGCTCCAACGGGCGAATATCACGGATAAGCATCTGAAGGCACAACTTGCGGACCGCGATGAACAGCTATGTGAAGTCCAAGATGAACTCAGGATGTTGAAGTTATCCGTTGAAAGGGCGCGCGCAGTCATGCGCGAAGAAGAACTGACAGAATTGGATGAACAGGAATTTCAGCACAATATGGATGAAGAACTTCCAGCGCCAGATTTCGCAACATTGTAGGTGCTTTCAATAATTGCCTACTCCATTTGTTATTAACGCACTTTGAAGTGATGTCCAGACCCCGCGCGCTGAAACGCCGCAAGGTGCGGGCGTGATACGCACCCAATCGGGCTCTATCATTCACGACATCTCTATGCGGCCTACCCCTGCACCAAGCTCTCCTGGTGACGAACACGACCAGAGGTACCGAGACGATGAAGACGTGTTTTCGGACCATCAGCGCGAACATCTTCGTACCCCTGAATCTCTGCCAGACCGCAGGGCCTCGCAGACTGATGAACAACAAAGGCCTACTTTGGTGAACACGGTAAGCTCACCACACGACCTTTTCTATCTACTTACTTTGTTGATGCTCCACATAGATTGATGATATGGAGAAGGAAATCGCGAAGCACATGACAGAGATCCAGACTCTCAAAGGCACGGTTACCCGCCTTCAGAGCGAGCTTGACACCCTGACAGGCACAGCTGAAGACCACAAGTCACGCATAGCCGACCTTGAGAGCGAAACAAACGAACTTGAATCTGGGAAGCGCGACCTGCAGCAATGCCTTGTTGATCGCGATCACAATATCACTCAACTCCAAAATAAAATTCTCGAGCACGAGAGAGTTGCCGTCCAGCTCAATGAGACGCTCACTCAGAAGGAAGCCTCACTAAAAGCAATTTCCATGGAGGCTGAGACGCTTTTGCGCAGCAAGAATGAGGTTCTTACTAGGGTGCGGGGAATGGAGGATGAACTGACTGCTGCACGAAGCGAGAATAGGCGCTTGACAGATGAACTGGCTAGTTCTCACAGAGAAGAAGAAACCCTTCGAGAGCGGATGGTAGAACTCATACGAACCACAGAGGAAAGACAAGGAGAGCTTGCCCAAGCCTTGAGGGTTACGGAGAACGAAGCCAGAAATGACGCTATGCTCGCCCAGGAACTTCTCATGATGACCGAGGTTGCCAAACAGCTCGAAAAACAGCTCTCTGAGGCTAACAACACCGTCACGACCCTCGATGCTAAACTTGCGGAAGTCCTTGAATGCAATAGTCAGCTTCAGTTTGCTCTAGAAGGGTCCAGGAAGGAGATTGAGGAGTTGAAGAGCAGGATAACGTCTTCCGAGATGAGGGAGGCAGGATTGTCGTCAAAATTGTTCACCGCTGATTCGACGAGGCAGTCATTGGAGGATGCCGCTGCAGCTATGAAAAATGCTTCACGAGTTGAACGAGTGAAGGCACAGTCCACGATTCTTGGGCTCCTCGAGAAAATTGATGGACTGCAAATTCTGCGCGATGACGAAGTGCGGGGTTTTGCCGACAAAATTGCAGCTCTCGAAGGTGAGATGGGGGATCTTAGATTGAACCTTCACAGTACGAGCGAGGCTCGGCAGACCGCCCTCGCTGCTTTGAAGAAGTCCGACGGTGACTTGGCGCACTCGGAGAATTTGCTCGCCGCAGAACAGAGCACTTGTAATGGCCTTCGGGATAGTCTGACTCAAGCGCAAGACCAAATATCTATATTGAAGGCAGCAAAAACAGCTTGCGAGTCGACAATTGTCAATCTTAAGGCTATTTATGATCAGGGGAAGCGGATGCAGATAGACTGGATGTCTGGGATGGAGAGCACGGTATGTGGTCTCGTGATTTGTTTGTCATGTGAGATGCTCAGAACGAACAGTTTTCTTCTGCCTAGCCGGATTCATTTGCACATGCGTAGCGATGAATTTGCCTAAGCTACTGATGCAGAGTCGACAAACTGTCCCGATGTTGGGGGCGATGTAGGTTTCATGGACTTGGACATTTAGGGTGGATATACTTAACGTTAACGATATTTGTCTTGATTTTGAGAAAGATATAGTTTGTGTCAAGTAGCCACAATCGAGCGTTAGCATATCTGCTTTGAATTTGATGTTTTGATGAATCGAAGTTGAATCCTCGTGTCATTGTCGTGTCAAGCTCGTCATCTACTAGCTACTTGGAGTTGATGACGGATTACGCGGTGTTTAGCCTGACATGATGTGCAGAGATTCTCGGAGTATGTCTTTTTGGAATCTTCTGCGGTGTGTTCCCATAGATGGACCTTCTCTGAAGGCGTGGTCGTTTATTTTATTATTGGGAATACGATAAGAACCCTAGCTACTGATACAAGTGCTCGGTAGGACAGGTTCGCAACAAGCACATAGTGATAGCATCCTTGGGGGAAAGTCGATTGAACCGTATGCCGAGCACAGGACGACGTTACGACGTATTGGGGGACCTTTGATAAGAATGCAAGCCAAAGATAATTAAATATATAGTGCCTGGTTTGATGGGTGCATATATATAGATGATGTCAGATGATGTACCGGGCCCTGATTTCAGCGCGCAGGCACTGCAATCATCCCTTTTGTTTTGAGTTTATGTTTCAGCTCGTGTGCTGTTCTTGTGCGATTGTTGAGATCATCATCGGTCCCGCGTGAGCTCGTGAACCTGAATGGGGAATGAATGGGTTTCGGTGTATTTCGGCGCATGAGATGACAGCTGAAGCGCTGACGGGACGACACCGATTCAGACTCCACGGTGCCACCTCATAACAGCAACCCTGGCACTTCCTGGCAGCAGTTTCTAACCCGCAAACTCAGCGAGAGTGAATAATGGCAGCAACGCACGATATGACAGTTTCTGACAGTTGAGTGCGGGGTACCATGCAGGGTCGGAGATAAGACTCGGAGCTTGCCAAGTGTGGGCGCCTTGCGTTGGAGGGCTGGTCCGAGGTAGTACGGAAGTGAAATGGTGCGCAGACATGTTGTGCAGAGCATGTGAGCAGGCTGGATGAGAAATCATCGTGGGTTAAGCAAGGACCCCAAGTGCGAAAATTTCGAGAATATTGATCGACGTCAACCTAACGTGGATCGATCCGTGCTCAAAATAGATACCATCAAAATCATTTTGTCACTTGTTCAGAGCCGCTTTAGGGATGCATTCTGAAAGATGTGAGCCAGCCTAAATTCAAACTAGATGAGCGGGTTGGTCCACGTCACACGATAGGCGCGCACAGCTCTGAGGAGAGCTCACACGAGTTTACGCACTAAGTCCACTAGTAGCCCACCGACGAAGGGGCTGAGCCCATGAAATGAAATTCACGTGCAAACAATGCCATCCGGAATGATTTAAAGACCGAGGAATGGATCATACGTACTAGTTTGCTTTAAGTAGTCTGCTACAACAACTCCAACACTCGTCGATGCCATGTCTGCTGCTTTTCGAATCTCTCCAGCCCTATGGGACAAGATTCACCACTTTGCAAGCTTTCCTCAGACAGGCGGTATGTCATCTGTTATCAACCCATTGCCGCAGATCTCTAATTCTTGTAATCTACAGTCTCGCTCCAGCAGATGGTACTCTTCGGTCAACATCCAAGTCAGGGAACTCTCCTCAAGGCTAGCCAGTTCCTCGCAGGTAACTTAATCCTTCTCTAGGCCTTAAACTCATTCTGATATCCCCTCAGAAGAGCTGCCCGTCCGCCTCGCGCATCGTGTCAAGGAGCTCGATGAGCTTCCCCACAATCTCAGCGACATGCCTTCCATACGAAAGGTCAAGAACTGGTATGCCCAGTCCTTCGAGGTCCGCCGTACCCTATCTTCTATCTTCTCCACTTCTCACCGGATCTTATACAGGAACTCATCAACTTTCCTCCCGTCCAACTCCCACAACACCTTCGCCAACAGCTTTCCTCCACGGGCCAGGATATCTTCTTACCTGACAGCACCCCAAACCCAAGTCTTGCAGCCTTGCAGGACCACGATCACCCTCTCTTCAACTTATCCCGTCTCAAAGGCAATGCGAACGGCATCGGTAACGTCAAGCTCAGGGTCCCTTTGGAACGCAGGTCTGTACTCCCTTAATCTCCCACAATCCACGCATCCCATGCTCACCTAGTACAAGATATTACGCAAAGTCATCATCCATCGACTGGCCACCCTCCGTCCTTGACTACAATGCTCGTTTCACCCGCATGCTCGAGGCCATCAAACGCAGGCACGACCCTACAGTCACAACAGTCGCACAGGGCGTCCTAGAATGGAAGCGCAGTCAGAACGCAAAGAACATTGGCCTTGATATACAAGCTTGGCTTGATAGATTCTACATGAGCCGTATTGGTATCCGCTTTTTGATCGGCCAACGTCAGTTGTTCTTAGTTCTTTTCGTTGCCATCATCTGATCTCCGTTGCTTTCTCTTAGACGTCGCACTAAACACGCAACAGCCACACAAAGACTATGTAGGCATCATCTGCACTAAAGCTGTACGTTGCCGTTCTCTGTCTTTCCCCATTCACTAACACCCTTTTTTCGCCGCAGAATGTACATGATATCGTACAGGAAGCTATCGAAAATGCCCGCTTCGTCTGCGAGGAACACTACGCCATGTTCAAAGGCCCCCCTGTTCAACTTATCTGCCCTCCCAACCTCATCTTCCCCTATGTACCAGGCCATCTTTCCCACATCTGTTTCGAACTCCTCAAAAACTCCCTCCGTGCTGTCGTCGACCGTTTTGGCCACGATGCACAAGACGACAAACCATACCCGCCCATCAAAGTTATCGTCGTTGAGGGCAAGGAGGATATCACCATCAAAATCACCGATGAGGGCGGGGGAATTCCGCGTAGCGCCATTCCCCTCATTTGGACATACATGTATACGACTATGACGGGACAGAGCATTGATCAAGACTTCCAAGCTAGCGATTTTCAAGCTCCGATGGCAGGATTTGGATATGGACTGCCACTGTCGAGACTGGTAAGTGACGTGCGCGTTTGTCGGGGGTTTGCGCTGATGTGTATCGTTGACAGTATGCGAGGTATTTTGGAGGTGATTTGAGATTGATATCTATGGAAGGATATGGCACGGATGTGTACATTCATCTCAATAGGCTTTCGAGTAGCCGGGAGCCTCTTCCATGATCCGCGAGCGCCTACCTGGTTGATATCATTTGCGGTAAAGGGCTTTGTATACAATATAGTGAGGGACCTACTAGTAGATCCACTCGATAAGTACTAAATGTAGTTTACGGTATACTGGCTCAGACTGACGACAGTTTCACGACAAGCATTATGATGCTGCATTTAATGCATTGTATATATTTTCATAGGTAGCATAGCACAAGCATAGCAGAATCAAAGGTTGAAATATAAACAAGGATTCCCTCAGCTCACATGGGGGAGGGACAGACCTGGACCGCATACAGATGTCTACGTGTAGCACTGATAGCAAGGTAAAAGAGAACTCAGCAGGGGCTATAGCTAGACTCTGGGAATGAAGAGTTATCTAGGATACTGTCCTCAGAGTACCATCGACAAGGCAGAACTGGTGTGACTGTTCACATGCGTCCGGTCCAGGCCTCTCTTCGTCCGCATCGAGATTAAAAGCAACACTAATAGTACTGCTTGTAGCTTTGAAGACGCAGCGGGCCCGAATAGGGGTTCCACAGATGACGGGCCGCTGATATCAAACCCGCGTTGACATTTGCAGAACTTTTGACGAGCACTTGAAGGTACTCAATAGACGGATCTGCCAACTAATTGAATGAGAGAAATGCAGGAATAGATTGCGTGACGACGTCCGCCAGCTAAGGGGTTCTCGACATACTTACCTTGATTCGTTTGCATCTGACATCACTAACACAGTCATCATAAAGGACAATGCACTGGGTTGACGTTCTATGCCGTGCCAACCACCAGGTCTATGCCGCTTATATGTTAAGCAGGAACATCTCAAAACTGATCGTATTGCGCACCTCGGATGCATCAAACATGTAGTCCACTTTGCCGGTCAACACAGCACCTTCTTGTTCCAGTATATTGTTATTGTTGCAACAATCTGTCCTGAACCAGGTAGTTCAACTTGAACAAGGACCGTCAAACTGTTCCAACCGGATCTCGGGGCCAGATCCGCCCCTGTTCGGGTTCAAGTCGCCAAAGCCACCACGCCATGACCGTCGGTAACCGATAACCGACTACCGATCTTTTGCGGAACTTACCTCAGTATGTGGAAGAAAGCCTGATGTAAAGTAAAGCTTGATACCAGTCAGGCGCGAACAAGAGCCCGACCTTCAACGTTCAACCTGTCGACTTGTTTGGTTATGGAGAAGCGAAAAGAACGTGCCGTGAGCGAAAGAGTGACCACGAGGTCTGCAACCGCTGGTAAATCATTCTGAAAGATTCATCATTGATATTGCCATAATTAAGTATTCTCCAAGTTGGTAATACATGCCAATGCCATAGTTATGTGTTGAACTGACTGGCAGCATGTAAGCAATCAGCATAAATACTGTCCACGATAATGATTAATAAAGGATGTGACAGTCTTGACTACTTACACAAGATCATGCAGTCCTCAGTGAACGCACTGGCAAGGATCCTGAAATCTTTTTATAAGTTTTTTTTTCGCACAAGCATCCGGGTGAACAATAAACATACTACTAGAACAGTCGTATACGTCGTAGGCCGCACATCTCGCACATCCATTTCGAACTGAGCAAAATACCTCCGTGTCGTCGTCGAGAGGCAAGGAAGATATCCCCATCGAATTCACCGACGAGGGCGGGGGAATCTTGCATAGCACCATTCCCCTCATTTGGACTTACATGTAATGTACACGACCATGGCGGGGAAGAGCCTAGCAGAGCATCGATCAGGATTTCCAAGCTAGTGATTTTCAGGCTCCGATGTGTTGGGTACATGGGCTGCTGTTGCCGAGATTGGTGAGTAGCGTGCGCGTTTGTCGGGGCCGTGCACTGATCGGTGTGTGACAGTATACCAGGTATTCGGGGGTGGTTTGGGGCTGGTATCTTTGGAAGCGTTAGTATGGAACGGATGTATGAATCCATTCCCATACAGCAGAAAGTACTGCAGATCGTGCTCCTGGAGTTAAGCACATTAGAGGAATCGATGTACACCATATGGGAAGGACTTAATTCCACTCGATTCTGACTGTAACTGACTAGCTCGTTCTCGGGACCAGAGTCCAGACCTTATGACACTGTATATTAGTGCAATGTACACGGTACCATAGCCAAATCGAAATGCAAAGAGAAGAATAGGACCATGAAGAAAGTACTCATATACAAGGACAGCGTCAACGCGGAGTTTGTCGAACAATATACAGATGTTTACATGTTGCATGCGTGTATAGCGATGTTGGGGTGTGGCGATAGCGTGTGCGATGCGAGAAACAGGATTAGAAGAGAGCCAAGCAGGGGGTATTGACAGTATCCGTGTGGGAATCAAGAGAGAAAACTAACAAAATCAGTATCACCTAGGCCCGTCCTCAGAGTGCCATGTACGCTTGAGGGATGTCGAAGTGGGTAAGCGGATTGCAGGATTCATGTGCGCCAATGACGACGACAATGCAGAGCTCGCGTGGCTACCCATGAGCGTCGACCAGTCGGCACTATCATGTGGGTGGACCAACGTCGAATGTTGGTGTTGTTCTTGGTGTCGTTGGTGTTGCTGTTCCTGGTGGTATTCCGGCCCACGCACCTCCAACGCATCAACTTCCTCACACAACCTCTGATTCGCAAACCGCAACTGCTGCAGCTCATACTGCCAACTACTCCCCCGCGTGGTATCTAGCTCATCAAATACATCATCAGCCTCGGCGTGAATCAGCGTATCGGAGCTACTCGAGTTGCTGAGCACCGTGATTTGTATGACGAGCGGTTGAGCGAGCGATGTGGAGGGTGTTTGGGAGGGCGTCGAGCTTAAGGTTGGGGAGGGTGGACGGTAGATTACGAGCCGCACGTGCATTGTGGTACGATCTTTACGCAGCATCATGCATACCATTGCAGACGACTCGCCCTCCGCATGTCCACGTACCTGCGCCTCATCTCCATTGGCGCGCTGAATCGCCGCCTCCACATGGCCTCGATCCCCACCAATGACCATCGCACCCAAAGACATGCCGATAACCTCACCAACACTCCATCCAAGCATATCGCGCACACTGGCGCTGGTGACAAGTACAGTCCCGTTTGCGCTCACCATGCCCCATACCTCCTGTTTGCCAAGCCCGCCAGCATGGGCGATTGAGCGCCAGCTGAGCGAGGGCATCCATTTGCTACGGCCGGAGAGGATGATGGCTTTGCGACCTTTGCCAGGTTCAACGTGGAGGCGACCCCGACATTCAATCCAAGTGTATTCAGAGGATTTGGCACGGGCGCGGAAGAGGAGGTCGACTGTTTTGGGTTGGTTAGCTGGATTTGGTGAGCTAGATGGTATGGGGGAGGTGGATTCGGCTGATGGAGTGTTGGGCGTGATAGAGGACTCTTTGAGCTCGCGCATGAGTGGGACGAGGTCTGCAGGGTGGCAGTAGTCAGATATACTCTTTCCGACGAGTTCCTCGGGTTCGTATCCCAGGACGAGGCGCACGCTCGGGGCGACGTAGAGAAAGGCGCCTTTGAGGCTGAGAACGATGATAAAGTCAGGGGATTTTTCGAGAAGGAGCATATGCAGGAGCTGGTTGCCGTCATGGGTGTCAGGCTTATCAGGAGTGGCTGAAGATGGAGGGATATTGACGCTCGTGGAGAGGGGGACTGAAGAGGTGAATTTGGCGTCTGTGATCAGACTACGCAAGTCTTTGCTTAGCACGCTGTTGGACGGTAATATAAGTCGACCTCTCGACGGGGGCCCGAGGGAGGATGGCACCGGTGCGCCTGCGCCCATAGTGTAATTGACGATGTAACTCCCATCGCGCAGTTTCTGCAAAATCGCATTGGGTTGTTCTGTGAGATCGACCTGGAAGCCAACGTGATAGACAACCTTGTCCGCTTCTTCTGGACGGTTTGATATGCCGCCCCTGAGGGGGATCACGGTGACGAGATTGATGAAGGCCTGTCCGCCTTTGCGGTAGTTAGTGATACGGGTTTGGCACTCCTTGTCCGCGGAGAGAGATTTTTTCAAATGCGCTACAGCATCTGGTCGGACAAAGTGACGCTCCTCACCCTTTTGTACGTTTCCATCTGGAGACTGCAAGAAGCGACAATTGCGACCGAGAACCTCATGTTCAGCGTAGCCTGTCAGGCGATAGAAGCTGGGGGAGGCGTAGATGATGGGACAGTCATGGCGACGAACATCGACGACAGTAAAGGAGCAAGAACTGTCGACGGGGCCGAGGACGATGACTGGGTGGGGACGGGTGACTACGCGGGAAAGGAGGGGGAGAAGATCGAAACCAGAAGAGGAGTAAACAGGAAGGCCTATGGGAGATGGTGTAGATAATATAGTTGCAGTATTGAGTTTGAGGATATCTGCGGCTGTGAAGGAGGGATTCGAGGTAGCTTGTGTTGGAGGAGATGGGGGTGAGTGAGAATAGTCGGCCTGGGGATACTGTATAGAATGAGGTACGTTCGAATAGGCATCATAGCAATTGCTCGATTGCGCATTGCTAGCACCAGATGCTGCCTCCACGCTCGCTTGGTGTCTCGACTGCGAAGAATGAAAACTATACGAAAAGAGTATTAGAGAATATCACAGGTATTATTTTGTACTCACGGCGCAAAGCCATTGTTTGTAAACCAGGATGAAGCAAACGAACCTGGGCTGTCAAGAAGACCAGCTGGTAGAACCTCCGCACCACCACCTGGGGCTAATATTGGAGGTCCATTGTACATGAACTGAGGTATCTGAAACTGAAGCCCATTAGAGTGAGCATTACCGTCATCGACATTGTAACGACTATCGTTGTAATCGCCGTAGTGATTAGAGTACTGCCCACTCCGCTGCGGCTCGTTATGTGTTAAATATCGCTCAAAGGGCATGGTGGGCGGTCTTGAACAAGATCATCCAAGAGGAGCAGAACTTAAAAGTAGATTTTGGGGGTTGGTACTTAGAAGAAGCGTTAACGAAGTATCCACCTTTGGAGCAGTGTGCTTGTAATACTTCACGTTAGCCTAACGTTATACAACCGGCTGGCCGCCGTCGCGTGATTAACGGTCTGCTTTTTACCTACTGCAAACATTAAGTTTACCTCACTAACACTCCGTGTAATCCACGTTTATGTAACTCCACTCATTTCATATTACAAATCGCACGATAGTACCTGTTCCTACAATGCAGTACAACAACAAACACCCTCCAGTTTGTGTCACATAACGAATCCTCGCATATGCATATAGGTTTTTGATATTTGCCCTCGTTCCCCTAACCATCACCCACATTGGATGATGTAGTGAATAAAAGGGCAGTCTGAAAGTCAAGTACTTTGTCAATTAACCGCGCCATGTCCTTGGTGTGTGAGTGAATGATATCACCACATATCTAAGCTTCGAGTCGTGCACACAAATCCTGCTTCGACGGGCCCAGCTGACTCAAATGAGCTCCATCCCTGAACGTCATATGCATCAATTTAAGATATCCCAGATAACCGCATACAATGATACGCACTTCAAAAATCTTATCTCCTCCTGAAGGTTCAAGTAGTCATCACACGCCCCACATTTGTAAAGCCTCACTTCTTCGACACAATAATCTTTCGCTAGCTTGGGAACTTGTACCGTGCACGGCGGAGAGCTTCCTGTGTGACCGCAGCATTCAGTTCCTTGTAACAGATAGGGAGGATGATCTCCCCGATGTTTACCCGCGCGACAGTGTCGTAAAGCTTCCCCCAGCACCGCGTATACCAGCATGAAGCCTGATTGGAACACGTAAAACATATAGCACAAATTCACACCCGAGTCGTGAACCTATTAGCATCCGCGTAACTCAACATCTTGTCGATGAAGATGATGTGAAATGGGTAGACTCGGACACGCATGTAGAATGAGTCCTTGCCTGATGTCTTGGTCACGGACTTGTTGGCGCAGATGCGAGCTACTTCAGCCGCCTCGGAACTCAGCTCCTCATACTCATCGAAGACGAGACGAGAGAAGAAAGGGAACACATCCAGAGGCACGCTTCCGGCCGAGGTCGAAAATTCTGACCTATGGGGACGAGTGAAGACAGTCAGTGACGAGGTGTTGTGAACGGACCTTGATACCATGGATTGTGCCGCGATTTGGGTAAGGTTTGTTCTTACAGTAGCGGTAGCAGCAGAGGGCGGGGCGACCGATGGTCTTGCAGAGTCACATCCAAGACAATGAGATTACATCCATCCCAACCAATTGCAATCCAACACTCATTTGAGGTAAACGGCCCCCAGCGTCTAAGTGTCATCCGACAAGCGGAAAAGCGACACACATATGTTGCATGGAAGTAGGGTGCAATGTTACATGGAAGTGATGAAGCCCTTTTTATCTGAAGTTGCAGTGGGAAATCGGATAACCAAGAGATGACAAATTTGACTCGGCGAGCGCCGGAGACCTCGGCGGACCGTCGTATTGCCGTCTCAACAGTGTTGGGCTCGCTGTGAAGCTTAGATCATAAACAGTATGGAGGTCCCGAGAGTATGTCAGACGGTCAGTGTGCCCTGGGCCTGCCAATATTGTACGTACGATTTGGACAAGAAATTCCGAACCACTGCTAAGACCTCGAGATCATCTTTTGTCATAACTGCGACCGACTGCGACACGACTACATAATGTTACAAATGATAAATGAAAAGGTAAACAAATTCAGTATTTCATGGTGATCAAGAGAGGTTGATGGAGTGCTGCCTTCAATACTAGAACGTACTCGAGTCTCGAACTTCTTAATTGAATCTTGAATCGCTTTCTGTTTCTCTCCTTCACAACATCTCATGGTATTGTGTCGATCCCTGCCACCCTGCCACCCTGCCCATGCCGTCTCGTTCAATGAGACCCGCCATTCGTCTTTGAATGGGTGTCCTGGTGCGCCAGCATAACCCCAAGGTTTGGATGTGTAAGGCTGCACGAATGGATTGAGCACCACCACAAGACTGGGATAAACTGGTCCTGTGAAATGCAACACTCCAGGACCCTTCATGTCTCCCAATGCTGGGATATCTCTATCAGCTGAGCTAATCTCTGCGTAGGTTCCGAGTCCCTGTGCATCCCAGCTCAGGTTCACTTCGGTTCAATCGCCAGCAAAGTGCACATTCAGCACGTCTTGGTCGCGATAGCGAGCGTCTTTCATCTCACGCACCCGAGCTGCAAGCTCAGACAGATGCGTTCTTGCATCTGCCAGGTCAATCAGGAGCATGCCTGCGTTGAAGTACCGCCTTCGTGAGACGCCCTCATGGCCCATTGGGAATCCAACATCCATCGCTGCACCAATCGAGGAGCCCTCCAAGGTGGTGTTCCACAACTCTTCCAGACTCCTGCGCACCAGCATGTCTGCGTCCAGGTATAAAGCCTGCTCTACTGGCAGGATCTTCATCATATCAACTTTCGCCCACGCTACGCCCAGTTCTGCAGCTAGACTCCCAGTTGGAAGATCCAGGAATACTAGGGTGACATCGTGTCGTTTGGGAAGCGACGATTTGATCTTTTCTTTGTCTTCAGCACAAATATCACAGTCTACGATATAAATTGTCATACGCCCCGTGGTCTTCTCGATGGCGCTGCGAATCGTGACAGCTGCTGCCATCGCATATGAGGTGTCGATGGCGAGGACCAAATAGATCCCTAAGCCTAGAGCGCTCGCGAAGTGCCGCTCAGCACTCTGCTCCACGAGGAATCCGATTCGCATTTCACTGGTCTTCCTCAAAATCATCTGGTATTGCTCTGCAGTTTTGGACAGATGCTCGTACTCCCCTGCATGAAGTGCAAGGAATGCATCGATTCCGCGGCGGGGATGATGCACACTTTCGTAAATTTGATGTCCACTAGGGGTCATATGTCGCAAAGGCATTATTTGAGAGGGGCCACTATGTTCGTATCGCAGACATCAAGCGGACCTCTTACCTCAATGAGCGCATCTCAAACGAGGTTCTCGTTGGAAACCTCTGCGATCTGTCATTTTGTGAAAGCGCTGTTCGAAGCATGGACACAATCATGCATTTTGCCGCGACGATGGGTGACATGGGTGCAATCCACGAAGCAAATGATTTCGTGATTTACAATGACATTCAACCTCATACATGCCGCTGTACACCGCAGTGTCCAACGATTCTTATATGCATCATCTGCCTGTTTTTATCCGACATCATTGCAGCACCACGGAACGAACCCCATATCCCTCCGCGAGCATGAAGTATGGTCTTCTGGGGCCCCAAACCCACAAGGCCTCTACGGTCTCGAAAAGCTGAACTCCGAGTTGCTTCTGATGCAGTTTGTCGAGAAAATGCAGATACACATTGCTTGATTTCATAATATTTTTGGCCCATATAACGCGTGGGTTGGCGGGCATGAAAAAGTGCCTGCTGCACAGCTCAGAAAGGCGCTCGCTGCATTCATGGATCCTACTACACAGCATGAAATCGAGATCTGGGGAGATGCGAAGCTTCCTCTACATCGACAATTGTGTCGAAGCGATTCTCTTTCTCCTTGAATCCGACTGCAGCGAACCAATCAACATTGGATCTGACTGTTCGGTGACCATCGACGATCTCACGAAAATTGCCGTGCAATCTGCAGGCATGGACGTAGGAGATGTCCGTTTCAGATACATGGATGATTCTCGTCCTGTCGGCGTCCATTCACGCAATTCAAACAATGAGTTCATCACGAAAATATTGAGCTGGACTCCAAAGATATCCCTCGAGGCCGGTATGATGAAGACCGCGAACCGGATCAGAGGGGAAATGGAGAAGATGCTTAATGGCACCGATAAGACTGCCCGAACAGAGCTTCTGAGCACTTTCAAAACGAGCAAGGTCGTATATTTGAATCGGCCCACCATTACATTCGCTATCATACTTCCCATCACATCCCGTGGTCTCGAGGGACCCGAGAAGAGCCTCGAAAACCTTCGAACCTTTGCAAAATTCCTTGCACACACTACTTGGCGTTACACCCGCGAACTTGGACTCGTCCACTTTCAGGTGACGAATTGACGCCCACGACAAATTTCTCTCGCGTCGTGCGGGAAACAGCGAAATGTTAAACATCGAATTACTCTTATCAGAGGAGGGAATCACGGATGTTTCTACCGAGATCTGCAATGTACCCCGCGGTCATGTCTGCGCCATTTGGCGCCAGTGTGCACGTCGGGCTTGGAAGGAAAAGGCGGATTATTTCGTTCTAATGGGTGATGATGTCGTTCTCCTCGATGAAGGCTGGATGAGAGACATCATCCATGAACAGTTCACGCTGATTGCACAACACGAACATGTCCCTCAAGGTATGGGATGCGTCGCCTTCACAGATGTGACTTTCCCCGGAATGCCCACATTCCCCGTAACCGTTATCCACCGCACTCATATGAATGCCTTTGGCGGCCAAGTCATACCCAATGTTTTTATTAATCAAGATGCGGACCCATTCCTCTTCCAGCTGTACCGCAAATGGGGCTGCTCCATAATGATACCATCAAGACTTTGCAACGGCATTGGCGGAAGCCTACCTGCACGATATATTCAACAACATGCAGATGGATGGACGTTCGGTCCGTTGACTGAGGCAGCTTCAGCACTGGAAACATCGTTGGCGACATCTTTCCCGGCCGCTACTCGCAAAATGACCTTGGACATCATCATTCCAAGCTACCTGGTTCTGCTCCCTTTCCTCGATGCCATCCTTGCCCTCAAGGAGTCTCCAACTTGTGAAACTATGTTCATCATCATCGACAACCCACACTGCCCTAAAATCACCGAGCTAGAAGCAAAATATGCCCATCGCCCAGACATCCGCATCCGCATCAATGAAAGTAACCTTGGCGCCTCGGCGTCACGAAACAGAGGCATGAAGGAATCTGCCGCGGATTGGATTCTATTCCTTGATGACGATGTCACACCTCAAGATGACATCCTGATAGAAGCTGAGAAAGCCATTCGTGCGAATCCACAGGCTGATGGTTTCATTGCTATTTCCCGGTTGCCAGCACTGTCTTCACCAATGCCGTTCATCTTGCTGGCGTGACTTACTTCTGGGAGTGGGACATCGCTGCGAAAATGCCAGAGAACGAGAGTGACATGCCATGGGGTGTCACAGCCAATCTCATTGCCCGCCGTGTTCAGGACGGTGTGGAATTTGACTTGCAGGTCCCGAAAAGAGGTGGAGGAGAAGACATCGATTTCTGTCGGAAGAAGCGCGACTTCTCTGTTGCTCATGGGGGCGAAGGATTTTATCCTGCTCCTCGTGTCATCGCAACTCACCCTTGGTGGAAAAATGGTCAAAGATCATACTGGCGTTTTTACATGTGGTCCAAAGGCGACGGGGGACTCATGAAGCTCTACCCAAATCTGACTCTATCAGGTGAGCAAGTAGAGAAAATCCAGTTCTATGCACTATGAAAGGTGTAGTGAACGAGCTTGAGGAAGTGAGGAAAGGCGGTCATGACAGGCGCCTAAAAGTTTCAAGCGACCGCAGCGACGATTAAGCATCAATCATGATGGAAACGCAGTACGAAGGACCTCCCACAAGATAGATTCACGACCCGGGAACTCGGCCCTGAATCAGCTCAACAGTTGGGTGCAGGGGGAGCGAGGGACTGAACACCTGGTGTAGTTCTATATAGCAGAATGAGAGAACATCGAAGGTGGCTCAAATTACTTTCCAACTCCGGTTAGATACACCGTACAAAATATGCTGCTATACATCTCGGCGCAGCGTAGATTTTATCTATACAAAATATGAATGAGAGCACTGCCAAGGTAAATTGTAATACATATGCAAATGTGATAGAGCGATGGGTGTTGAAGACCACAAAAAAACAAACAACAATTTGTCGAGTGATCCTAATAGATACTGGTGCTTACAAGGAGCTCCGTACGACGTCAGTAGCGGGCGATATGACAGCCACCAATACTGAAATATCTGCAGACTCTTGAGAACAGTGCAAGTTATGAAGTCAATAAACGCACCATCTATCTTGCCGCCTCTGAATGGTTTCCCTGATTCCCTTGCACGACATGCAAACGGCACCTCATCCTCCATATCAAACACGCCGTCCTCGATTCCACGCCCTCTTCTCTCGCTCACGCGACGCGCACGTGAACAAAGCGCTTCGCTCAGCATGCCTGCTAGCGTTCGACGGCCCAAAAGACCATCACCACCCTCCCCGTTACTCTTTAGGAAAGACCGCTTGAACCGTACTACTTCGTCCAGTACCTCATAATCCCACAAGTTATCAGAGAGCCCGTCGGAAGCGAGAATGAGGATATCGTCTGATTGGACTGGGAGGCTGAGGATCTGGGCGTCTAGAGGGCGTGCAGAGGATGCGGGACCGAGCTGCACAGGTGTGTTAAAGGCTGTCCACATCTCTTTGCTGCGCCAAGCGATGTTCTCGTCGCGCACCAGCATACCCATGCAGTCTCCGAGATGGGCGATCTTGAGTACTGCGTCATGAGTTTCTTTGCGAGATGCTGTATCTGGAGGATTCTGGAAGATGAATGGACGGGGTGGGGAGGTAGCTGGGGGAGACGTGCTGGAAGAGTGTTGGAGGACTGCGACGAGCGCTGTTGAAGAGCCTGTCATGAGGGGGATCATCTTTGGAAGGGAAAGTTCTGGTGCGTGTGGGGTAGACTGTGGGGAATCTGCAGAGTTGGTGAGAGGTGCTTCCTCAGGTATGGATGCGAGTCCTGGAGATAAGGCTGCCTTCGTAGGTGGACAGGGAGGCTCTGGAATAACATGGGCCTTGAGAGTGGTCTCATATGCACGTTCGAGGATCATTAGGACATCCAGTCCGTCTTCAAGATCCTCTAAAGAGTCTTCGAGCTCTTCATGAAGTTCGTCTATTTTGGCCTTCCAGGGCCATGCAGCATTGTGGGCCGTGGATGCCGGATGCCGCTGGGGTGATTTGGACCGAGGAGGGGATGCATCTCGGCGACGGAATGATAAGGTCTCGGCTTGGAGGGCCTCTGCCGAACAGTGGTGCATTAGTCGGCGGGCAAATAATGCACTAGGTGATGGATCTGTGGAGATATGCTTTGATGAACCAACGTCTGAGACATATGGATAAGAATACGAAGAATCTGATGAAAGTCTTCAAACATACCAGGTGTCTTGGCTCTTGACCAACCGCCAACACCATCTGCAACGCCCATAGCATTCTCCTGTATAAAATAGGCATCCTCACCAACTTGGACGGCGAAACTGAGATCCTCTTTCTGAGGGTGGGGGTCAATCTTTCGCCAACTATTGCTATTGCTATTGCCATTGCCGCCGCCTATGACTATACCTCTCCCTGAGACTTGGGCTTTGGTCTTCTTCGGTATGCCATAAGCGCCAACATCCAGATGGTAGCGAACCTTTTGTTTCCTTTCTCGTGGATGAGAGTCGGTGACGGAGTCTGCGACGGCGATATTGTAAAAGGGTATCGGCGTGAACGGTGAGTAAGGAAAGAAAGAGGAAGATTGGTGTGAAGGAGGAGTGTGGGGAGGGGAATTTGGGTTTGCCTGAGGTGATGTTAGAGCCAAGGAAAATGGGGGCTGTCCATGTGATTGATGGGCAGAACCCTCGCCCTCTGCCTTGACAGGAAGGCGGGATGTTGAGAGAACGTGGGGTTTGCTAGGCTGTGGCTGAGGTGGAGGCGGTGAGTCAAAAAAAGCAAGTGGACTAGAGGAATTGGTAGGCGCATTGTAAAGAGAACGAGCAGAAGGCGTTGAACCAGATCGTCGACGGGAAATTGGGGATGTGGAAGGTGAAGATGCAGATATGGAGCGGGGAATGACAGTATAAAAACGCTTTTGAAAGGTCTTCATCGTTGGACCTGGTGCACTCATGTCGAGCAGAGCGTCGTGCCCGATGAGCAGAGACTATTATTGTTGTACTTGATACAAGTATTGATGGAGGATGCGAGAACACCAAGTGCGGGGTTTGACCGGAAGAACTCGGGTGGTGTCCGGATCGTCTTTACCTAGGAGGTCACAAATCAAATTCACACGTTTTGATTGGTCAGGTGCAGGCTGCCAGGCTCTAGTATAAGTATTGCCGCAAGTTCCGGCTTATGTCAGGCTCTAGCCGTGAGCGGAGCTGTAGTTAGCGTGTACCTAGTTATAGCTTACGTAATTTATGGTCTGGCAGTGGAAATTCAGGACACAGGATTATCTGGAGATGCTCTTGGAATGCGAGGCACCACCTCCAGGTTGGGCATGCTGCACGTGCGATGGGGATTGAACTTACAAGTGCCATGACTGTCTAGCAGAGCCAATATTTTGCACTCGGTGCTGCTGGACTCAACACAGCCAACTCCATTTCCACTAGATAAGCCAATGGAATGGTGATTTCTTTGAAAAAATGATGTTGGCCAAGTTAGGCATAGAGATTCACCTCCAGTCATGGGGGGCAACCTTGCCCCAATCAGAATTGGGAATGGGAAAACACAGACGACAGTGGATCATGCATGGAACCTCCAACTGCAGAAACTCCAGATAGGAGCGAACAAGTATATGAACCTAGATGTGAAATATTTGCATCAAAATTCCTGGGAGTACCAAGAGAGCCAACTGACATAGGCTGCGAAGATGTCTTTGTGGAAGTGGATTTTGGATTTCCTCCTCACAATCCTCTGGAAATTGATATGCCGCAAGAAAAGAAAAGTTTGATAATGGTCGTTGATTATTCAGGCATCCACACACCACACCCTGGCAGGGGTATTAATACAACAATGGCTATTGTAGAAAGGTAGGTATGTATACTTGTCAGCTATCCCCAAGGCTTCTTTGTATGCATACTCTGCTGGAGAACCCATACCTATTTCACCATAGACTTAAAAATAGACTTCTCAGCCTTCCCACATTATATCCACACCCCACATTTTCGCACTTTAGCCACCTACCATAGGAATTACCCCACAACACTAAAACATTGCTCATTTTTGGAAATCTCCACAATATCAATTATTACCACACCCTCCCCACCTCACTGCAGCTTCACCACTACACCACAATAGGTCTTCCCTTGTATCTAAGTAGTAGTTTGGTATAAATGTGTATAATATAATATAATAGACCATTTTTTTTGTTTGTTTGTGTGACTGCTCCTCCTCCAGGAGCAATTCAATATAGGATAGGGTGCAAAACACTTTCGCATTTTTGCCCCTTTGATGAGGAAGTGTTATATGATATTCAGAACATGTTTGAGAGTATATATGAAGACATTCCCATCTTTATTAGACCCCCTGAAGTGTCCTACATCAATAGATATAGCATATATATAGGAAAACACAAAATATAGTCCCATTTGATTATTTCTAGATGGATAGACTTGGAAAAATGATCCCCAGCATATATTCAACAGTAGGAACAATGTATCAGGAGCCCAGGACCATAAGATAATCCCCTGTTGCATAGTGTGCCCCCCCTCTCCTAGTGGTTGACCCCCTGTGAAAAATTTTCCTGTAGGACCGGACCTTAATTGACATTGCGAATATCATTGTTCCTTCACCGCGCGTATCCATCATCATTATTATTGCACAGGCCATTCACTTTCCCAATGCTCGCTATCAGTGTAGGAATACAACACAGAGTGGGGCTATACAAAGATGGCTCCAAACTGATATATTTATGTTGTGGTCTTGCACTGCCTAGTCTGCTATACTTGGTGAGACAAGTGCGTTTGACCCAGGGGTCTGCGGTCTGGGAATAGTTTTGGGGGTCAGTGAGTGATGTGGGGTCAATAGTCTGAGTGTGGGAAACAATGTCTGAAGGTATAATTACGATGTCCGATGCAAAAAGCGTCGGGTCCGATGTTTTCGGGTTATCGGGTTATCGGGTTCGGGTTTGGGGTATCGGAAACTAATAGCAATGCTATAGCGAGTGTCAGGAAAGCGAGCGGTGTGCACAATAATAACAATGACTGATACGGGCAGTGAAGGAACAATGATATTCACAATGTCAACTAAGAACTACAAAATATCGGGTTTGACCCCTAAGCGTTGGAGAATGGCTCTCCTCTACTTGGATGATGGTAATGCTATGGGGAGTCCAATATTTATGTAGATACGTAGAAGTCCGGAACCATATAGGTGAAAGTAGTAGCGCAATATTTTCAGGTCCGATGTCCTATGTAATAAGACATGAGGTGCTGCAGACATGTAATAATGTGGTCTACAATGTTAGCGATGGGAAAACAGGTAACTGCGCACCTAGTGGGGCTAGCACAATGAGACAGGACATAGGTAGGACGAGTACACACGAAGTCCAATAGTCCGATGTCCGAAGTCCGATGTCCGAAGTCCGAAGTCCGATGTCCGAAGTCCGATGTCCGTAGTCCGAAGTCCGATGTCCGATGTTTTCGGGTTCAGTGCGTATTGAGTCGGATAGGATAGGGAATGATTCGGGTAATGATTAGCATTAATACATGCATTGGAAATTAGACCTCTATGAGGCCACAGAGATGTCAGTCTCTACATTGGTTTCTGATACACCAAACCTGAACTTGAACCTGATAACCCGCCGAAAACATGGGACCCAACACTTTTGCATCAGACATCATAATTATACCTTCGGACATTGTTTCCCACACTCGGACTATTGACCCCACATCACTCACTGACCCCCAAAACTATTTCCAGATCACAGACCCCTGGGTCAAACGCACTTGTCTCACCAAGTATAGCAGACTAGGCAGTGCAAGACCACAACATAAAGATATCAGTTTGGAGCAATCTTTGTATAGCCCCATTCTGTGTTGTATTCCTACACCATGCTCTTGACTTGCCCTTTGAGTTGTGACAAATCTCCACAATATCAGGTGTATTATCAGCCTCTTCGTTATCCTGCAATGACAATTAGTAATGGTGTAGCTCGAGAATGGCAAAGGTAATAAAACAGTTACTTATCCATTCAATTTCATAGACATAGATGTGTAGGGTTATTCTTGGCACCTTTGCAGAGCCATCTTTGTCAGATAGTACATGCTTATGCTTGAGTCTAGTCTCACGAAAAGATCCTTGATTGAACTATCCATGACCTAGTCCTCAATAACAGCAGTGCCCCCCAGCCCAGATCCTTTGGCAGTACAGAATGTGGTAGCCTTGCTATTAAGAAAATGCAAATGCCATGGCCAGCAGTGGGGCCCAACATAGATAACATGAAGATGTACAATTTGAACATTGAATCAAGAATTTCTGAGGGGATTGGATCTGTACTCTGCACTGGTATGGTGCAATACATACCCTTTGACTTCAATAGCAACTGCTGAAGAGTATCTGGTGCTGATTCATTGGCTGGAAAGGTACAGTGTGAAGGAGGAATCTTTGCCTAGTGTAATATATATGAGTCGTCAACTGGTAGTACTGAGTGAAATGATACTGCTTACTCTCTTTGCAGTAACTTGTTTACTCTGAGCTGGATAAACCCACAATGAAAAATCTACATCAACCTGTGAATTTTTTGCTCTTGCTTTCAGAGCAGAAACCTTTCAGTTGACTTCTGAAGCACTCAATAGTGACGAATTCTGAGGATGAGGCTAGTTTAGATGGTACTGTGATGCAATGCTAGAAAAGCCAGATCTACGGTCCAAGATTGTGGCTGCAGTTGAATGAGTTGCATTTCCTGCACTTGAACCATGGCTGAGAATTTTTGCAGATTCAGATGCTACAATATGATGCAACATAAGTATAAACTAATGCAGTACTACCTTGCATGGTGACATACATGGGTTTGATAGCACAGCTTCACCATCATGGTGGCCAGGCTGGAGAACTTTACAGGGCTCACACAAAGTGGATCAAAGGAAGTTGTAGCATACCTCACAGTGTTTGCATTGTGGTTTATCCTATATGTGGTCTGAATTAGTATAGATTCTCGTCACATAGTAGATTTGCAATGCACATAGACAGCAGTACATTTAGCTTCTGTGGCTTCCCAGAGCTTCAAACATTTTCCACATTCTTGGCTATCCATGGCAGGAAAGTTTCTCAAGCAACCTAAGTATTGTGCCATGAACAAGGCTAAGAAGAAATGACAGTTGAAATAGGATGCAGAGTACAAGCTTAAATATTGTATGCCACAGCCTTCAAGTGCTAAGTTTATTTGGTACCACTTTGTTTAGTTTACATTAAATCTTTAATCTGTAATATATATTGTATAGGTTTTTTAATACTGGATCACCATCTAGCTTTCAAAACTGTCTATTTGCTACGAAATACAAGTCCTCTATAACCTAAATAAGAGGTAACATAGCAGAAAAGATGTTCTACACATTGTGAAAGGATAACTCCTTGAAACCAAGGTTTATAAAAATGGTCTGTGCATGATTCTCATACTCGACAGAAACAAAACAAATAAGATCCTCACCACCTATACTCTCCATCAGCTGCCTTACCACCTCATGGTCAACTGCTTGTAGGCAGTTCTCAGCTTGATACTTGTCATGAAGGACAAATGCAACATTGGGAGAAACATCTGATGGAAGTTTCTTGGAAGAATCCTTGCGAACACGGTGGTTATTGAACTGCTCCTGAAGTTGATTCAGCTCTTGCTGAATGAGTTTTGGCCATACCATTTGACTAGATCACTATAAGTGAGACATTGGTAATTTCATATGAAAGCTCTAGCTCAAAATTCACTTACTACTGTCTCAGGTCCATTTCATCATAGATGCCACTGCCTGCTTCCCAGAATACCTTGCCATTGTCTCCCTACTGAAGACGGAGACAAAGCCAGCCACGCTCAATAGGTGTATTGTGAACACTCTTCAAAAACTTATGTGCAGGCAGCTCGTTCAATGACAGATGGAGGGAGAAGTGTTATCTAGTATGATATAATAAGCATTGACATTAGAAAGATAAATATAAAATCAACTACCAAAGTGCATTGGCAAATCCATACATTTCTGTAGTTTCGCTACCACAATCAGTTGCTATCCGTATTGGCATGCCTTTGAATATGAGAGTGAGCTTGTAGTATATATATCTAAGAGTGACAATATAACAACCCACCAAGCTGATAACAAAGAGAAAGATATAAATAAGCAATTGCATCTTTAAGACGGTTGTTTGGCAAGACATGAATACTGAGCCATTTGCCTGACCAAATATCACGAATTACCCAAATTGGAAAGCCAATTTGAGTGAGCTTATCATGACCATTACCGCTCCACTCATGGTGTGGGCCAAGGACAACCAGGGGCCTCCAAGACAACTTCTTGCTGGTAGGTTGGTGAGTGACGAAACCTTCAGGTTCTTACAACATCATCTGGTCTCTGATGTATTTGCTGTACAAAGGTCCCTTACAGCTCAGTAAGAACAACAAAAATATGTAGAATGTACGAACCATAGTGTAGAGACTGACATCTCTGTGGCCTCGTAGAGGTCTATTTTCCGATACATGTTGAAATGCTAATCATTACCCAAATCATTCCATATCATATCTGACTCAATACACACCAAATATGAAAACATCAGACATTGGACATTGGACTATTGGACTTTGCATCAGGTTTTGCATTAGCCTATCGGATATTGTGCGCACCCATCCTACCTATGTCCTGTCTCATTGCACTAGCCCCACTAGGTGCATAGTTACTTGTTTTCACATTGCTAACATTGTAGACCACATTATTACATGTCCACAGCGCCTCATGTCTTATTACATAGGACATCGGTGTAGGGATTCATTTCTGGCTGGGCTTGTAGAGACTGTTTTTACCTTACCTTATGTTGGCACTTTTGTAGCTTACATAAGGAAGTTATCTTTTCACCAGTTACCAGTAGGAGTCAGAGTCTTCAGTAGTTTTCTATCATATTTCCTCTTCTCTGAGCCTTGAGCCTGGTCCAGAAACCCTTTAGGGTCGAATAGCAGCTAGGTTCTGCAAGACCCAACATTGTTCAGACTCACTCTCTGAATTGTTGTACCTTCATCGGATCCGAAAATATTGCACTACTACTTTTGCCTATAGGGTTCCGGATTTCTACATATCTACATAAATATTGGACTCCCCATAGCATCATCATCATCCAAGTAGAGGAGCGTTCTCCGACGCTTAGGGGTCAAACCCGATATTTTGTAGTTCTTAGTTGACATTGTGAATATCATCGTTCCTTCACCGCCCATATCCGTCATTGTTATTATTGCGCATACCACTTGCTTTCCCGACACTCACTGTCATCTTACTATTAGTTTCTGATAACCCGAAACCCCGAAAACATCAGACCTGATGCTTTTGCATCGGACATCATAATTATACCTTCGGACATTGTTTCCCACACTCATACTATTGACCCCATATCACTCACTGACCCTCAAAACTATTCCCAGACTGCAGACCCCTGGGTCAAACGCACTTGTCTCACCAAGTATAGCAGACTAGGCAGTGCAAGACCACAACATAAAGATATTAGTTTGGAGCAATCTTTGTATAGCCCCACTCTGTGTTGTATTCCTACACCGCTGAACTTACTTTGACCATGACGGGTGTTTTGAGGAAGTCGTCGGGAACCATCACAGAGGGATTGGTGAACAGGACAGGAGCCAGACGTGTATACTCATCCTCACCATGCTTCTTTAGAAGAGTGACAAGCTGCTTGTTCTCTTTCTTTTCAGTGGATCTAGCAGTGAAAATAGTTGGATCAAGCTTCAGATTGGAGAAAATCAAGCCTGCACAGTCTTTGAGGCTATGCAGTATGTTTGACCTTTCAGAGCTGACTGCAGTGCAAAATTAGAACACATGTAAACATCAACATCTTTGCAAATGATAAAACACACCAGGGATCCAAACTGTGAGTAAGTCTCCATCACTTTATGTAATGACTTGGGCATACAGTGATACAGTTCAGCCATAGCGCCATTGAGCTTTGCCTCGGGTGAAGCCCAACATGTATCACTGCGTGGGTCGATATTTGGTTGGGAAGTTGTTGGGAAGAGCCCATTCATGACCCAGAAATAATGGAACATCGCATACTTCTTGCCTGTGTGTGAGATTTGGCTGTCAAGAGCCGATGTTTTCTTGAGGACCTTGTTATGGCTGCGTGCAGGCACAGCAGCCTGGAGCACCACGTAATCTTTCTTGAGAGTCTGTAGCTTGGATCGCACTGCATTATATGCTGGCTGGGCTATTTCGAGTGCCTGTGAGTGAGAATGTGAGAATATGTTAAAAGAAATGAGAGTAAAAGACAAACTCACCTTGTGGACCTCATGCATGGGTGCGTCTGGTCGAGGGATCGTCAATATCCTCCTCATGGTCCCCAAGTCACTCCTTGCATCAGATGTACTACCTCCTTCTGAGTCACCATCAGATCCAGATCCGGTGTCTTCAACAGCATCAAGCTCTGTGGTGAAGTCTTCACCAGTGTCGTCTTGAAGTGGGGCTCATTGAGGCATGGTAATCTGAATCTGAGAAGGCAAAACAACAAAGAGATATGGAACACAACTCAATACTTACCCAGATTATAGCTTTTATGGAAAAGTCCATTGGGTTATTTACGTATGGACTGCTGCTGGACAATTACATCACAGCGTCCAATAAGGCAGTATTAAAGAGATAATGCACTGTATTTGATGTCGACAGGTGAGCGCATGTCAAGTCGTGTGTCAAGTCTAGCCAGGTTCTGAATCATTAGTAAGTTGATATAGCAATAATGCAAAGATGTACCTTGCTGCATGTAATCAAACACGCTTAGAGTGTCCATGCCGTCCAAAGCTTGTGTGAAGTATTGTAGACCAGTATTAAATAATGCTAAACACGTAGGGAAAGTAAGTTTCACAGACTGATCAGAATGGATGTGTGTACCCACACTTTGATGAATTGACAATGCAGTGCAATCACACACACACACACATGTTTCTCATCAATCCCTTTTCCACCGAGAAATTTTGTTGAAATGTGCAAAGGCAGTTTGGTTTTAGATCAAGGCGATGAGGAGGAACTCCAGGATGAGTTATGTTGCAAGATAGTCGGGAGTGTTTTCTGGTGCATTGAACTGAGTGTGCTCCACTTCTTTGAGGCTGAAATAAGAGTCTGTGTTGCTTCATAAATAGAGTCCATGGTCAATGTCTCTTTGCAGTACTTATGAAAATTGCCCAATATTAAGTCTAAGATCCTGTCATCGAATTCGTCAACATAGACATTGAGAGGGGAAAGAAATGCATGCTGTAGACAGGTCTTGGCGTCCTTGAGAATGTCTGGCAGGAATAGGAAGTCAATGGTGTCATCGAAGTCTGTAGTTGCTGCTATGAGTGTGAGAGTCTGCTGACTTCCGGAACAGTCTTCTCTGATGTGATCTATGAAAGCTGTGAATTGTTGGTCACCCATGCTCCGAATTTAATTCTCATTGACATGAATATCCCACATTTCTGGAGTGGCAATAAATCCATTGTATCGTTCTTATTATCAATCTGATACCTGTTTCTGTTTTGAAGACCAACAACATCATGAAACAAAGCAGAAGTCGCCGTGGTATCAGTGAACAAAGAACAATAGTAAAGAAGAGACAGAAGTACAAATGTGCAGTGACACACCAAGGCGCAAATTGAGGTGTATCGACAACGAGAGATTGAGGCAAAGAAGAGTGTTAAGTAGGTATATAACCAGCAGCCATCATTCCAGAAGATTCGACAGATGGCAAGGCAGTGCAATACGTCAATGGCGTGCCTGTGTCTTCGTGCAAAAAAACATATCGCTGTCGATATGATCAACAACAATACATTCACCTTGATGTTCGCAGTCAGGGAACAAAACAGCACCACAGATGAAAGACACAAGCGGGACAAATATTGAGTTTGCTCTAGGTACAGCCTTGACACAAGTGAGCTTGAGTTCATGGTCAATTCTGTGAAAAGTACCAGTGCCCACAATGTATGGCTGAACCAGTGCAAAATCAAAGGAGCCGATATCTGGGAGATGGCACTTGAACATAAGGACAAGCTTGATGAAAACGGATCATTCCGGAGTGAGCTGTATGAGTGCACAGTCATAGCACGGCTGGCCATGGAAACACAGATTGCACCGAAGGTAATCCATAGCTTGTTTCCAGTCAATGGTAGACTCGTAGTTTACCTTCAGGTAGTGATGTTCCCAAATCTGAAAGAAAGTCAGTCCTAGACATTGAAAGATATGATCAACATGCCTGGAAATTGGCAGGTAGTGTAATCCATCTCCTCAGTTCATATCCATACCCAGGCAAAGATGTATTGAAAAATGCGGAGAACTTCCTACAAAAGTCTTGAAAAGCATGATCAGCCAGGCTATAGGTATTCTTGATGTCCTGAATAGATACGAGTTGCTGTGGCGAACCAATGTAGAGACTGACATCTCTGTGGCCTCGTAAAGGTCTAATTTCTAATGCGTGTATCAATACTAATCATTACCTGAATCATTCCCTATCATATCCGACTCAATACGCACTGAACCCGAAAACATCGGACATCGGACATCGGACATTGGACATTGGACATTGGACATTGGACTTCGCACTTCGGACATCGGACTATCGGACTTCGCGTGTACTCATCCTACCTATGTCCTGTCTCATTGCGCTAGCCCCACTAGGTGCGCAGTTACCTGTTTTCCCATCGCTAACATTGTAGACCACATTATTACATGTCCGCAGCACCTCATGTCTTATTACATAGGACATCGGACCTGAAAATATTGCACTACTACTTTTGCCTATAGGGTTCTGGACTTCTAAGAATTCTTCACCACAAGCCTTGTTTTCCTCGTAAGCATCAAGTGCAGCCATCACATCCTGCATTGATCGCAACCAAAATGACTTTGAGAGATCATGAAGTTCGTCAAGCAGTACAATGCAGACCAGACATGGGCACTTGCTATGATGGCCACAAATCAGTGACATCATACACCTATAATACAGATGCTGTTAGATCAAACATGTATCAGTACAACAAATCATGTACTGTTCTTCATAGTCAGCGGAAAGTATCAATAAGATGGGAAATAGCCAACATAGAATCTGGTCAAAGCACTTGTATGAATAACCTGTCTTCAAGTACTGTGCGACCAGTTCCAAGAACTTCACAAATGACTTGTGCCATATGACACACTTCAAATTGGTGAAACCTATCTTGCCTTCCTCACTTGCGTCTTCGGAAACCTGTGATTATGAATATTACAATCATTAATCATTAATATAAGTGAGCATTTGATAACTTACAATAGGCAACAGACCAATAACACAGCCGCTGCTGATGCCCTCACCATTCCGTATTCCTACCAGTAAATTCGCACAATGTACCATGACAGGATACCCCTTAACAGTACTGTGCGATGAGAGTCTTGTTTTGTTGGCATACACTATGAAGCAAAGGGGGGCAGCAATAAGATCACACGGAAGACTGGAATATTATACAGGTTTGACAACACTCTATTAATGAGTGAGCGCACCTAATATGGAACAATTGTTACATACCTGGACATCCCACCATCTATCAGCTGTCCACAGCTCATCATAGAACCTCTCGAATCCTGCACCATTATGCTTGTACACACATTGTGCATCCCAGATGAAATGTGGCGCGAGTAAGGGGTTTTCGAGTAGATTAAGGGCCCATTCCCATATGGGCAAAGCATGGACCTCATATACACACTCCTCTTGTTTGTATGGCACAGTAATATCATGCTTTGTAAACTAAACAAGTTTTTATGACACAACAATTCAAAAGAGGTATTAGCAACATACCGGCATCACCTGAGTAGTTGCACTATGCAATATATTGCGGAAATCAGTATTGTTTTTCAGTGTTATTTTAGTCTGGCCTCTCGAAATGTGGGCAATCAGAGATAGTAGTCTATCAATATGCGACTTGTTGAGCAGTGCAGCGGTATGCAACCACTGGATGGATGATATTCCATCTTGAATTTGAGGGGCCACTGAATAGATGCTGCAGGTTCAACAGGCCCTGACAGACTGGGAACTGTACAGAGCGATCATTTGGTAAAGTTGCAAACAATCAAAGACTAAAAATATACCTGGGATGTTGAGACTCTCATTCCCGTTGTAAGCCTCGACATTGTTCAGATCAATATCCATGGGATCAGCCAGAGAATATACAGCTATGAGTGAGTGATAATAGCAGTGCATGGAGGGTGAAGAACATGTAGATGTACCAGAAGGAAAGGAAGAATCTTCATTTGCAGCATTATTGCTGGCACTCTGTGACAGGCCAGCTATTGTTTCAGGAAGCCTCGTCAACTTATGAGCCTTCTTTCGAGCTATTAGACATCGCCCTGATAGATTGATAGTGGTCAGTAATTTATTGGTAGATAGAATATTAATATAATTGCTCACCTTGTTCCTGGTCCTTTTGATACTCGAGACTGAATGTCTCCTGCTCCCTCGCAACATCCGCATGTTTCTTGCACGTTGCTTCATGCTTCTTGAAGCCCTGGGGCTTGAACTTGTCGCCACAGTGAGGACATGGGATCCGCCCTGTAAGTGTTTCTTCTGTATAGTTGTACTTGCCTCTAGATGATGCCGCAGCTGCTGTAGTGCGAGATGGTGCCATACTAGATTGAGTGTTGATAGCAGTGTGATTCCAACGGCGACGATGATAGAGCTTGGTATTATATGGGCAAAATGAAGTGTCCCAGATGACAGATGATAGATTGAGTGTTGGCAGCGTACGGTGACAATGATAGAGCTTGGTATGGGCAAACGAAGTGACAGATGATAGTTATTATGTATTGATAGAACTTATTATTAGCCAACAGCATCTTAGAATTGGCAATCTCACAGTCACAAGACCTCTAAATAGTCTCACATAGCCTTGAAAGGTACATTGTCATCAGGCTCCTACCCAACCGCTGCTGCGAGGTTGAAGACGGACTGCTAGGGCGGGTTTGTGTTAAGACCGTGCACGAAGGGTAGGACTGATTCCAAGGGGCTTGGCTTCAGCTCGTGGACTGCACCCCTTACCCGAGTATGTGCCCTTAACTTCAGAATGAAGTCCGGAGAAAGTCCAGTGAAGTCCGAAGGACTTCCGGAGGAGCGTGGGAAACTTTGGAAGGACTTTCCGGACGAGTGCGAGAAACTTCCGGATGAGTGTGGGAAAGTTCCGGAGGAACTTCCGGAAATTACGATGGAGTTTCATCCTGACGGGGATATGTGTAATGGCTACTCAGGACTTGTCCTGAGTAGAAGCAAACAGAGGAAAGGCTGCAAGGACAAAGTCCGAAGCAGAATAGGTCCGGAGGACCGCAGGAAAGTTCCAGAGGAACTTCCGGAAACTTGGAGGAATGGTGGATCGGAGGGGAGGAGGGGAGGAGTGGAGGAGCAGAGGAGCAGAGGAGCAGAGGAGCAGAGGAGCAGAGGAGCAGAGGAGCAGAGGAGCAGAGGAGCAGAGGAGCAGAGGAGCAGAGGAGCAGAGGAGCAGAGGAGCAGAGGAGCAGAGGAGCAGAGGAGCAGAGGAGCAGAGGATCGGGGCTCCGGCCTAGGGAATTCCTCTATAGGCCTGAGATGGATAATGACTAAGTCGGAGGACTAGAACTGTTACGAGGACTTAGGGTGAAGGCTAGTGCGAGGACTAATATGTGTAATATTCAGACTGAGGAAGTATAGAGACTTTACAGGGTTTATATACTACAAAGGACATAACGGAGAATCAGTCAGCGCAGTGCGAGGCTATGTGAGGCTATGGACGGAGCATGTAGAAACATCTAACACTAGTCTATCGGAAAATAGTAAATGAAGACGGAAATGAGAACATAGTAAAATAAAGGCGGAAATGAAATGAGGTACGGAAAATGAGTATAGTCTAACTTGAAAAGGAACATACAAAGGGAAAAGGCACGGAAGATAGATGTGGGTCGGATCAGGATGTTCGGAAGTCTGGAGACAGGTGATTACCATAAGGGGATGGGCGCTGATTTAAGGTTTGAGTTCGGACATGACAGATAGGTTGGATCCGGAGATCTGGAGATGTGGATATCAGATCTGGCATCTGGATATCAGATGCAGGAGTACAGGGATCCAGATGGATAGAGGATTGGGTCTGGAGACATGGAAAGGAGGTCCAGATGAGGCGTGGGAATGTTGTCGGATGTTGGTCCGGAATGCGGGATATGACAGTTTGGGAGATCACATGCTCCAGCAAAATTTCAATCCCAGCACAACTTTATTTCTTCAACCTCTCAGCAGCAGCTGGTGGATAACATTTGTAAACATTGTCAGCCACAGCAGCTAAACTTCGCCAACACAGTGCGGAGCGTAAAAAAAATATACCTACCTGAAAGGAATATATACATCAAATAAACTAATTGTTTAACCGCGCAAGTCCTATTTTGCCACATGACCAAACTGCCTTCCAATTCAGACTCGGAAACCCCTAGCTTCAGTGACTTATGAGCACTTTGGCAAGTGGCCATGTCTTTGGCAGATGAAAGTTGCTAAAGCCTTTCTCCAGAAAGACCGTGATATAGTCTGCATTGCTGGCACGTCACTGGGGAAAACCATGTCATTTTGGTTGCCTCTTCTCTGGAAGAAAGGCCTCCAGATCATCGTCACGCCTTTGAATCAACTTGGAAAGCAGAACGTGGACTCACTTGCGAAGGCCAGTGTAGAGACTGACATCTCTGTGGCCTCGTAGAGGTCTAATTTCCGATGCATGTGTCAATGCTAATCATTACCCAAATCATTCCCTATCCTATCCGACTCAATACACACCAAACCCGAAAATCATCGGACATCGGACATCGGATATTGGACTATCAGACTTTGTGTGTACTCGTCCTACCTATGTCCTATCTCATTGTGCTAGCCTCACTAGGTGTGCAGTTACTTGTTTTCCCATCGCTAACATTGTAGACCACATTATTACATGTCCGCAGCACCTCATGTCTTATTACATAGGACATCGGACCCGAAAATATTGCACTACTACTTTCGCCTATAGCGTTCCGGTGTAAAGAGTTGATTCGTTGTAGGCACTACAAATGTATTACCTTAGAACTCAATGTGCGAGTGTAATGCTCGTCCCAAAGAGACTGCCTATAGAATTATCTCTTGATATAAATGCAAGGGATATCTTGTTAAGATCGAAGGTAAGAACAGGAAGAGTTACCCAAAGTGCATCTCGAGTTCCGAAGATGTGTCCGAAGTACCGAAGTACTTGTCCGATGCGAGCGAAGGTGGTCCAAAGTCAAGAAAAGAAGGTCTGAGGCAGTATGAAGCGTCTGATAGATGTCTGATGAACAGCGAAAGTTCTGAGAGAGAAATACGGCGGATGTGTCGAAGTGTGTCGAGATATGTTGAAGTATAAGACTTAATAGATGTACCAAGGTACGACTAGGCAAAGTCTATTGGAAGAGCTAGAGATATCAAGACACAAAATGGCAGTGGTCAGGCCAGACAATCGTTCCGAATGAACAAAAAGATCGATTGCACGAAGTACGACTATCCGAAGTGACTCTACAAACTATGACTCATAGCCAGGAAAGTGAAGTGAAGTGCAAGTATCTGGCGAGTCAGATTATATCCTACAGCGTGAAAGTCCGGAATCTGCGTAGGCGAAACTAGTAGCGAGATAAGCTATCCGAAATGTAATAAGACTCAAGGCAAGCCGCTACAGAGATATGCATGTAATAGCACACGAGGCATGTAGCTATACATATTAATCAAGCTTTTTGATGTATGTGCCCCTAAGACATGATCAATAACAGATAAACCAATGTAAAAACGCACCAGCGAAGTCAAACAGACACGGAAAGGACATGGTACGGAGGATCGGACGTGTATACAGACCTCGGAAGGGGACGGACGACCTTCGGACTACTCAGACGAGTGCACGGAACTCTCGGAAGGTAAAAGGAGTGTCGGGGAATATAAGTGTGAGACGCATACGATTTAGGAAGGATACGCTGTAGAGACTCGCGCCTCTCGATGCCGGATATGCGGCCTTCTTACCCATTTAATTCCCTATCTGTATCAGCTCACATCCTAAGGACCAGTCATTCGCGCTCTCGCGCGCGCGCCCTACGTACGCGCCTCACTCGCACATCGCACACGCACGCGCGCCCTTCGCGTGCGCGCTCCATAGGCCTTCGCGCTCCTACCGTCCGTCCCTCTGTCCTTTGTCCTTGCTGATTCACTGGTGCGTTATTTTTATCTCTCTCATTGAATTAACGAACCTTCGGTCCGACCTCCGTGCTTACATACAGAGAGCCTATTTAAACTTAGAATATATTTAGAAGTTGATATGGTTACTCGGTTCGGGAGCGCGCTCGGAAGCGCGCCGCATAGCGTAATCTCCCTTCTTAAATAGAGGGAGGATTCCTTCGGTTCTGGTACTTACTTTCCCCTTATCTTGATATACTGCAAAGTGTAGAGTTCTCCCTCCAATACTAGAAATCTGATTATACTCCTCCACTGTTGACACCTGTGCCCTTGCTACTCTCTTAAGGACTCCTCTCCTTCATCGTTCAAGCGCGCGCCCGCTTACGCGCGTACCCTCCGCATCTCTCGCTCACGCGCGCATCTCGCGCGCCTTCGCATCGCCTACGCGCGCCTTCGCGCGCGTTACTTTCCCGCGTCTACCAGCGCCCGTCTAGTTGACATAGTTTCCCTCCACCTTATTCGCGAGGAACTTCTCTCAGTAGCTGTCCTTTGGGTCGAGTTGTATTCTCGTATCCAGGTCTTGCTGTAGAGCCCCCTTTCTTTTAGTGTTTTCACCCACAGTCAAGATTCCTCACCTTCAACTGGAGCCCACCGCGAGGGACACTTCTGAGACAACCGGTCGGGTACTCAGACCCAACAGTCGTCGCAGAGCTAGAGAAGAAGCCATCGCCGCATTCGACAGAGCAATTGAATCAATTCTACCAGGACCCTTATTCTTTCAACCCGCGCGCGGTCGCTCGCGCAACATCTCAGAACCGCCACGACCAGATCTAGCGCTCTTAGCGCGCGCGCCTAGACAGCCGATATCGCCAGTCACGCCATCACCGGAAGAATCTGTCAAAGAAGAGTCGTCCGACGACTTTGAAGCAATAGATAACCCAAGAAGCCAAGTTCCCGGAGCGTTCCTCCATACGCCCAACCAACCTCCTTTTATCTCTTCTGACCTATCAGCGCTAAGCGCGCTGACCGAACTGACCGATTCTAGCAAAACCCCGCTTAACGCATTAGCATTCCCCGTGCGCGAGAACGCGCCTCCTACAGTGGGAATTCCGAAAATCAAGCAAGAAGTGTTCGAAACCCCGCGCGCGCCGCCTTCAATTCCAGGCGGTATCGTTATAGCAAACCTTCCCTTCGCATACGCGCGCCAAGTGCCAATCAGTCAGAAGACCTCCGCGCCTACAACATCCCAAACGCCTATTATGTCCACCACAAGAACCAGAATGCCCGTCCGTGGGACAACGGACGCGCCTAAATTTGATGGCACCGCGGACGACCTCGCTGACTTTATAGACCTATACGAGCAGCTCGCTGATGAAGTAGGTCTAAAAGGACTCGACCGCATCAAAGGCATCATCCGCTACCTTGAGCGCGATGATCGCGAATTATGGGGCGGAATGCCTGAGGCGCAAGTAAGCGATTACGACGCCTTTTTAGACGAGGTCAAAGTAATGTATCCCGGATGGGATGGCAAAAGGCGCTACGCGCTTACGGACCTACAAGCCATCGCGCACGAGTATGCTAACAAACCGATGCCTTCTTACCAGGAACTGAGCAGTTACCTGCGCGCATTCAAGAAGATCATGCAACCGCTTTTGGCGGAGGACAGAATCGGGAAAGCCGAGCGCGACCGCACATTCATGGAAGGTATTCCTAAGGACACTCAGGCGCAAATCCGCACGCGCCTCATGATCAAGTTCCCGGACCACTACCCGCAAGATCCATATCCGTTCATGAACGTTTTCGCAGCTGGACAGTTTGTACTACCAGCGAACGCGCCCGCACCAAGCGCAACGGCTAGCGCGCCTAAGGCGGCATCATTCACTAACCTGGTCACAGCTAACACGTCAATGGAATCGCCCGCGCAAGGAACGGTAACCAAGCGCGAATATAAGCGCGAGGCGTCCGCATTCAACGACTGCTCCTTTTGTGGCAGTCTTGAACATTATTATGCTCGTTGCACGGAGAGACAAAGGTACATCGACGCGGGCAAATGTAAGGTTAACGAAGAGACGCGCAAGCTTGTTTTGCCAAATGGCGAGTGGATTCCAGGTCGAGGACTACTCAAGGAACGACTAGACCGACACCACGCGAGCCGCGCTACCTCAGATACGACCGCTAGCGCAAGCACCACAGCAGGGCTGTTCTATCGCGCGTCTGAGGAGATCGACGCGGTAATTGAAGTAGGGTCATCCGCGTTTGTGCACACAGTCGCGCGAACAGAACTTGATGGAGACGATGACACGGTGGACCTCATGACCGAGGCGCTAGCCTACGTAGCCGCGAAGCGCGAGCAGAAGCGCAACACCAAAGGTAAAAACGTCCGCTTTGACGGTGTCGAAGTACCCAGCGAAACCCGCGCGCGCCCGAGGCCCGCATCTAGACAAGCCACGGTAGAGGAGGAGATAATCTCCCCCGAAATACAAGCCTCGTCTGACAAAGGTAAAGGAAAGGAGCTAGCGAAAGTTGCGCCGTCAAGCGCGCCAATAGGCGCAAAGGCGCCCCCCAAAGGAGCGGCGCCATCGTCGTCCGCGCCTTCTCCATCATCATCATCGCCATCTGCGACCGCATCGTCATCAGCATCAGCATCGGTATCACCATCATCGTCATCATCGTCACCAGCACCATCACAATCATCATCGTATCGTTATGCATTCGCGCTCGAGGACAAAGAGGCCGACAAACGCGTTGTCGAGCGTCTTCTCGATTCCAATCTCAACATTCCCGTAAGGGAATTATTAGCTGTATCTCCTGATGTTCGCCAACATTTCCGCGAACTTACGACCAAGAAGCGTGTCACGGTAGGCGCAGTATCAGTACACGAATTATCAGGACACCCCGCGACCGATCAATGGTTAAGGCAATACGAAGACGCGCGCATGCGAAGCGACGGACGGCAGGATCGTCGCGGATCACTTCGCGCCCCTGCGCTGTATCCGCGCGAAGACATCAGAGGGGCGCACTCTCACGTGTGTCCTAGACCAAGGCGCAGAGGTAGTAGTCATGCCAAGAGATGTGTGGAAGGCGCTCGGAGTACCGCTCAGATCGGACCACAGCCTCAACATGGAATCAGTGAACACATCACGCGACGCGACGCTTGGAGTCGTGGAGAATGTTTCGCTTGATTTTGGCGCAGGACCCATGTATTTTCAAGTCCAGGTCATCGAGCGCGCGACCTTCGAGGTTTTGCTAGGGCGCCCGTTTTTTAAGCTTACTTCATGTCGCACATTTGATCTCCCTGACGGGGAGCAGGATCTTATACTGACAGACCCTAATGCGCGCAAGGAATTGCGCATTCCAACCCTACCTTGGGTCAAGCGTTCGCTCGCAAGAGACGCGAAGTGCGTTAACAACGCGCACTCGCACGCGCTCAAGGAGGAGGAACAGGGTTTTTAAGTATCGATGATCTGCAGCATTCGCGGGGAGACGCCTATTCGCATTCGTTTCCCCAATCATTTTCATTATCGCATCATGTCT